TGATATTGATGATGAATTAATATGCAAATGTTGAATTAAACACATTTCTTGACTTTCCGGCATTTTCCAATAGTGAAGAAAGAAACATGATCAGGGTGTGATATTCTTCATATCTCTGAATATGTTCATAGCTTAAGGTGATAGTGTGAGTTAACTCTATCACATCAAAGGAAGGAGGATTCCGAGCCCCAGCATTTTTACTTCGAAATTATCCAGACCTGTGGGCAATGCATGATGTTTATGCCGGATATATACCTGGTTACTGGTACACCTCCATTCTGAGTGATATACTAGATAGTATAAACAACCATATCTTCTATAAAAACAGAAACCCCTCTTATTCCTCGAGAATTCATCAAGATACGATGATGAAACGTTGGAAAACTCACTTCTCACAACCCCAAATTCTAGAAGCTGCCTGGACCACGTTTCTCCATTGCAAATAGCGATTGGAAATGACAAAGTTCCAGTGCCAGCCATTAGGGGGAAAATCTCTTTGGCGCTTGAGATGTTGATTCTGGAAATTTGTGCACTAACTAGCACGCCCGCTACATGCTACATCTCCTTGATTGAATACATTGGAGAATTGTACTGTACTGCAGTTTCCGTTCGAGGAATCGAGGTGAGTGCTTGCTGTGTGCTTCTCATATTCCTCTATTTCTTTACAACTTCCAAGGCGATGCAAATTTCGCACTGTGCAAGGCATCTATCTGTCTTTCTTGCTCAATCATGCTATGTGAGAATAAAAAAACTATCATTTGTATGGTGGAGAGTAGGGACTAGATAACAATTATCACTATCGCTATCGTACAATAACATTCATCCTCGAAAACCATCCAAGGACCAAGCCCGTCGCAGCATTTTCAATATAATCGACCAAAAAAATCCAATTATATTACTCGAGTATACTTGGCATGTATGCGACAGGACTCAGGAAGGAACCCCTCCGAGCATAGGTTAGAAGTCAATACAACCACAAGGTAAGCTTTACTTTACTTTATACCCAACAAGCACTGCATTATGCATTACAACTACTCGAAACAATATCAACAATCATGATACTTCGATCAGTCCCGGCAGTCTCGGTGCAAACGGAAAATACACATAACCGTATATCCGCGGCGACCGAGCTAGCACTCCCATGACTCGAACCTTCAGGGTGGTACTCTGGGTTGTCCGAGTTTTCGGTTCGATCTCGTCCTCCCTTTAGAGGCTATAGAGGAATAGTTATAGCCTATCTGTGGGATTCGATGCTCGTATGATATGATGCATATTTCGACGAGTTTGTATTGCTTAGCGAGTATTACTGTATAACTCGGCATGTATAAGCAAGCGCATGAGTACTCATCTAACTCCCTCCAGTAATCTCACTCTCACTCTCACTCTCACCCACAAACTCAATCCCAATCTCACTCTCACTCACAATCTCAATCAAAACTCAGCCAGCTCCATACAATTCGCATGTACATAATACAGCCCGCGGAGTTAAATTATATATATAATAGTACCATCAAAATTACAATAGAAAAAATATTTACAAAGCTTTTCCAATGATACCGGTACTTGTCTATTTGAATTGAAAATTGGGTGGGGATGATACTGGTGCTCAGATATTAGACTTGGGTTTATTTGGAAATTGGGAGTCTGGGAGGGAGACGAGAAAGGTGATTTGAAAAATTTAAAATATGGAGGGGTTAGTGATGAGAGGAGGGATGGTGAAGTGATGGAAGGAGGGATAGTGAATGGTATTGGATGGTATTGGTGGGGTGCCGTGAAGATGTTGGGGTGTATGGGATGTATGGGATGTAGGAGATGTATGGGATGGAGTGAGATCAGAGGGTTAATATCAATGTGACGGCGATATGATATAATAAAGTAACCTTGGAACACATATGCATCGTATCTACTATGATACAATCCCAACCTAATTCAATCCAGTTCTACAACATCAGTTTTTCAATGGTACACACCGTAAATTGACAACCCCAACCCTATACTCCTGAATACCTAGACACCATCCTTATCATCAAATCTCACCTCATCTACCCACAAACTCAAGTCTTATAAAGAATCAGCCAACCAAGCCGCAATCATACTCCCTAAACACCCCAACCTAATCACCCACCCCATCGCCTCCGTCCCCACAACCCCCACCTCTCCTAACACCCAAAAAACCAAACTCCCCTGTATCGCAGCAATGATTTGCGGGAGAGCGATTGCGATGTTATAGAGACCCATTATTGTGCCTGCTTGCAGTGGCTCTTTGTTTTTGTTTCTCTTGTGTGATGGTGAGGTGGGGTGGGGTATTGGGGAAAGAGGGACGGAGGGAGTGAAGTAGGATTTGGAGCGGGAGATTTGGGTGGATATTAGGGCGAGAGGTATCCAAGAAGTGATGGCCCAGGAAATACCGAGGAAGATGATGAGGATGGAGGTGGAGATGAAGGTTGGGGTTAGGAGGGTGGAGAGGGTGAGAAGTGTGGTGAGAAGGTGGGAGAGTGTCCAGACGCGGGAGAGGGTGAGGGATTTGATTTGAAGGTGAGAGAGGAAGGTGGGTTTTTGGTGTTTGAAGCTGGAAGAGGAGGGGGAGATTAATAAAGGGAGTGTGAGGTTCGAGATGAGTGCGACGAGGGCAAACAGAATCATGATGAATGTTGCGTGGCGAATAGAGTGGGGAGTTGAGGTGGTGGGGAACGTGAGTGGTGGAGTGGCCTTTTTGGATATCGGGGTATATTCTATTTCGTCTGGATGGAGTTAGGTTAGTCATTTGTCAGTACTCAAACTCTCGAAAAACTTACAAAGACCACCAAGGTATCTTTCTCGTTAGCATGTAACCGAGAATCAGGGGGAAGGGAATACTCACGAAGTAATATAAAACAAAAACGGAAACCAACCAATCCAAGCAAAAAATTGAACCAAACATATCTTTCTAATTTCCCTCGGACACGTCTTCATATTCCTGAATATCTGACGGAAAGTCCCCAAAAGGCTTTGTCTCTTCAGACTTGAATCCAAATCAACAAAGCGTTTCTCTTTCGCCACAAAACATGTTATTGCAACAGTAAGACCTAATGCCACAGAAGCAATGAGACAAAGTCCCTTCAATTGCGTATCTCCAAGCCATGGTAGATATTTCGGTAAAGAGATATAACCAGCAGTATATCCTAAAATAGACCCTATTCCTGCAGCAGAACTTGCATATGCATAAGCTCTAACTTGTTGTTTCGGTGGAACACAATCAACGATAATTGCCCTAAGCCCTCCTTGAACCGGTTGAATGGCAATATTCAATGCCCATATCCAAGATGCTGCCATACAACCTTTACAAATCACTGCACCGCGAGTGAAAGGGGAACCGCCGAACAGGGTAAAGAGGTATGTGATAAGATCGGTTGTCCAAGGAAGTGCGAGGATACAGATAATGATTGCGACAGTACCAATGATGATAAAGGGACGGCGGCGACCAAGATGATGTTGAGAGCGATCGGATAAGATGCCGATATACGGTTGAACGATGGTGCCAGAGAGGGGGCCGACGAGCCAAACGAGGGAGATGAGGTAACTGGGGACGGATAGAGAAATGAGGTAAGGCTTGGGGAATTAGCTATGTGTATGATGTATAACACGGTAATGAGTAAAGAACTTTCTTACAGAACCTTGAGACATAATGGCCGTCCATATCACTTGAAGTCTACCAAAATTGTAAGCAATGTACAAAAGATCGACAAACAAGGCCGGTTATTTTACCCTCCAGTACTAATGGCCAGACATATTAAATATAGAGTCCCAACATCTTTCGTATCTTTTTTACTTTCATCTGATTCTCGAAGTAAAGAACTTTCACTATCCCCAAGAAATTCATCGTCCATGTACTCGTAATCCAATTCATCCAATCTATGCGCATCCTGCAACTCCTCATCCTCTACACCCACTGCTAACATCTTATCGCAAAACACACACTGCACAGGGGGAACCCAAAAATATACAAAAACGGAAACACATAGACAGCCAAAGCTGTACTATATTTTCTTGGATACAAAATCACATTAGAACGTTGATGTAAAAAAATATACAACGCGAACGAAAGATGGGATGAAGAAAAAGATCATCAGCTAACATTCGCCTGTTTTATACATACAACATGCATGAACACTTGTGCAATTGTTGCATTGTATGCAAAGCCCGATTTGCAAACTTGTGATTCGCTGAAATCTGATTGTGCCCCATGGTTGTGGAGATTTGAAATGGTAAGCTATTTGTCTGAAGGAGTACCATTTATACTTCTGGATATCAAAATATCAACAGCGAGGTTGATATCGTATGAACTTAATCCGATCGGAGGAATCTGGTACGGATGATCCCGCCTAATCGGTGGCGCAAACAAACACGATGAAAGCACTCATGAATCGCGACTTGATTTAAACAAATAGATTGTTGCCGTCCAAACCTTTTATTCACCCACAATAAGAATGTTTTCGTCTCATTGAAGCATCCCATCCCTTCTAATGACAACATCTCACACGACCCACAACAATAACTCCCAATCATCACGGTCACAGTCACGGTCAGGGTCACGTGCCATTTCAAAATTAAACCTCGGTTCAATACCCCTTCATTTTGGCAACGAGATCTTCCGTTCTCCGACCTCGTCCGACCCCGCATTATCACAAGCTTTAATCAATTCTATCAATCAGTTATCTCAAGATCTCTTTTCCGTCTCGAAGCAAGTTCGGTACTACTACCTAGAGACGTCAGATGCTCGTAATCATTGCTTGGGGTTTTGAGCCAAGATTAACAGAAGATTTTGTGACAATAAGAAGAAACCACAACTGCATTCATCCTTTGTCTCAATTGCATTCGGTACCGGTACATCAACAATAAAAACCAACCACTCCCAAATCATACAAACGGTAAGTTCAACCACAGTAAGTTCACGATCGTCCCTCTAGTTCTCATATCAAAATTCGGCACTTGTCCCTTCACACCAAACCAAGTTCTACGTCGTGCCGCTTCAAGCTTCTCTCGACTGCACATCCCTCAAATTCCATATTCGTTGAACCGAGCTACCAACCGACGAGTCCAAGACCAAGCACAAGCTTAGCATTGTCTTGTCTGCCATCCGAGTCCGGGGCTCCACAACTTTCAATTGGAAGCTTCCTACCCTTTTCTCCATTCATGCAAGGCTGTGAAGGTAGATTATGGCTTGGGAGAGGACTGGGCCGCGGGACAAGATAGCTCGGGCCAGTTGAGCGAACGCAAACGGAAAGGATAGACTCATACACTTTGAGCAATCAACATCCATTCCATTTACTTTTATTACTCTTTTGTTTTTTTGATGTGAAAGCAAGTTGCTTTTTATTTCTTTCTACCTTACTAAGTTTATCTACCTCTTGAATCTACATTCGGGGTATCTTGATAGAAACGAATATCTTTATACGTTAGAGATATAAAGAACCAATTATACATAATTGTTATATCTTTCCATCTGCAATCATTGGAAGAAATTGCCATCAAGAAAGCTATACACTAGAACGGACCTTCTACCGTCTTCAAAATCCTCTGCGAAGAGGTAAAATAGATCAAATGTCGGCGAAAAGTATCAAAGGCACAGATGGCAAAAAGCCAGCCTCTGCGGCCACGAATCTTGTCGGTACGTCACTGATTCACTGATTTTAATACATTGGATCCAATCTGACAATATACAGCTGGAGGAGCAGCAGGAATGATGGAAGCCCTCGCATGTCATCCTTTAGGTACATCCCTCCTCTCTCCTGTCACCCATCAAACCCTGACTAAATCCCACCCCACAGACACAATAAAAGTGCGCATGCAACTCTCCCGTCGGGCTCGCGCACCCGGCGCCCCCAAACGTGGCTTCATTACCACGGGTTCGGAAATCATCAAGCGCGAAACGCCCCTCGGTCTCTACAAAGGACTTGGCGCCGTCATAACTGGTATTGTACCGAAGATGGCAATCAGATTTACAAGTTTCGAGACGTACAAGAGGTGGTTGGCCGATCAGGAAACGGGAATTGTTACTGGGAGAGCTACGTTTTTGGGTATGTTTAGTGCGCTGTAATTTTTGTTTCCGGGGTTGCGGGGAAGGGTTAACGGGGCGAGAAGGAGAGGAGAATTCAGTACAGAGGAAAGATACAGACAGCTAACAACATCCCAAAAACAGCCGGTCTAGCAGCAGGTGTAACTGAAGCCGTGGCTGTCGTAACACCCATGGAGGTAATCAAGATTCGACTCCAAGCCCAACACCACAGCATGGCCGATCCCCTCGACATCCCTAAATACCGCAATGCCGCACATGCATTATATACCGTAGTAAAAGAAGAAGGAATCGGTGCTTTATACCGTGGAATCTCTCTTACTGCTTTACGGCAAGGTACGTTCGCTTCCGTTATTTATGAATTTCTCACCTCCTCCATTTTCCCCGCATCCCCACTTCCCCATCATCGACCCACCGCCCCCCGGAAACGCCTACCTATCCATATCCATACAATCCATACTAACCCCCTTCCCCTCTCCCTCCCAGGTTCCAACCAAGCCGTAAATTTCACCGCCTACACCGAATTCAAAGAGCTCCTCCAAAAATGGCAACCCCAATACTCCGACTCCCCCATCCCATCCTACCAAACCACGCTCATCGGTCTCGTATCCGGCGCCATGGGTCCCTTATCCAACGCTCCCATCGATACCATCAAAACCCGTCTACAAAAAACCCCTGGAATACCTGGAGAGACGGCTCTCAGTAGGATTAAGACGATTGCGGGGGATATGTTTAAACAGGAAGGATTTCATGCTTTTTATAAGGGTATTACGCCGCGGATCATGCGGGTTGCGCCCGGTCAGGCGGTTACGTTTACGGTTTATGAGTATTTGAAGGAGAAGTTGGAACATAGCGATATGCCGATGTTTGGGGGGAAGTATGAGGAGTGATTGGATATATGAATAGATGGATGGGTACAAGGACTTTTACTTTTTGGTATATATATTTAGGATTCACGAGATGAGAGGGCGGAATATGAGTAAGTATGATACTGGTACTGTTGTATGATGTGGTATCTAAAAAATCTTATCGCATAGATGTCGTCTTGTATAGGATGGAGCATGGTCCAGCATAGCGACGAACAAAACTTTAACCAAGGCCATGTTTTCCTTCCCATACCGTGCTATGTCAAAAGTCAAAAGTAATCCTGAACATCTATCCTCTTCCGGGTCTCTTGGGTCTAGCGAATGTTTTCTTCACCTCTATCTGTGGATGTAAATCCGAATCGATACTGTCTTGAGAGATGTCCTCGGGAGACCCTGCCTCGAGTCTTTTCTCAATGGTGAGTCCTGCCTCTCCTTCAGCTAATTGTTGGGCGGATCGAGATGATGCTGCGTATAGCATCCGTTCCTTAATTTTGGATCCGGAAGGGCAAGTATAGATAAATAATATTGGCGAAGACGTTGTTCCGTGGTGGTCGTGGGTGTAGCGATAGAAAGAGTATCGAGGTTCGTTGCCGGAGATAGTGCTGTTGAGATCTGAGATAGAGGTTTGTGTCTTTGAAGCAAGTTCCATGGTTTCTTGCGCAATGTTGATTTTCTGGGTTTCGTTAGTCATGAGCCCTTTGTTCGAGGGATTGATCAACTTACAATTTGAACCAAATTATGTGTGCCATCTTGGCTCAGCGCTTTCAAAGCCTCCAGCGCATCTGCTGCAACTGGCATACTGACACCACTACTAACGTGACTCTTTCTCTCATTCATACCTCTACCCTCTTCCGCCTCCTTCCTTTTCACTTCTCCCAGACTTTGTTCCTCTTCCGTCAACGGCGCTGCTAATTTAATATGCTTATCATGCTTGGCAAATCCCTCTTTCGACAGTTCTTCTTTCATCGTCGCAAAGATCGTTTCTCGGAATCGTTCGATCCCTAGTTCTCGTACCAATGTAAGTCGTGTAGAGGCAAAGAGCATCTTCTGACGCACAGGCGCGGCATCGGGAACATAGGTGACGGCAACAAAGGGGGCGGGATCGGTAGAGGGATAGCGACGCAGTATTATGTACAGAGCAGTTTTGTCTTGGAGATGAGGTGCCAGGAGTTTGAGATCATCGTCGAAGGATGAGGTGGAGGGTTCGAGGACGGTGGAGGGTGTGAGTGTTTCGCCTGTGATGGTACAGAAGAGACCTCGTTGTGATTCGGTAGATACGAACTTGTTGAACGCCGTGTGAAGTTCTTGAGAAGCTGTGAGAGAAGAATCTTATTAGTTCTATTGTCAAGTCAATGTAAGACATTAATATACCTGTTATTCCGGACTGCATTTTGAAGGATTTGCTTGTTGCTTGTTACTTATTGTTTATTGCACTGTAAAACAAAATCCAATAAAAAATTGTACCGGTACTCAATTCAATCTATCTATCAATCCTGACACGACAACAAGAACAGCAATGATGAATTGCGGGGCGCGAATCAAATAGATTGGCAAGGTAGGGAGGGGGGGTTTGAGCTGAGGGGGAACAAGTGGGATACGCTACTGTGAAAGAGGGAAGAGGGGCACCTTGCATTTGCCGATCCATTGAAGCTTTGAGCTTTCCTTTCCTTTCCTTTCCTTTCTCGAACTTCACTTCACATTCAAGTCAATTCACTTATACCTCTTATCGCATCGCATAGCATAGCATCGCCTAGCATAATTACAAACTTCACTTATTTTTATTCAATATGGAAGGTATGCAGCAGCAAACTACAACTGCTTTAATTGGTAAGCTATAATCATTTATTTCTTTACATCTCTTATTTTCATGATTTCGACATAATCAATCAATCAATCAATCGACGCAACACGACCACGACAACGACAACGACCATCCATACCGAAAATCAATCATACAGCAAAAGCCATTTAACTTCGACTTCAACATGCCGGACCTAAATCTCTTACATGTTCTTGGCGGTGAAGTCATGACGAGAGTGCCTTCCAATACATCTACGATTTCTAAGATATCTACGATGTCAAATGCATCCGATGAATTTGCGCCTGTTGTATCTGTTACCGCGGCTTTTACAAATACAATCCCTCCTCATTTCGAATCAGTATCAAGTATTGAAATTTCCAAAGCTTCCGTCCGCAAAGATGACCCAGGCCGTAATGACGAATTAGTCCGAAAAGATCATCAAGCCCGTAAAGACGAGCCACTCCGCGAATATGAACCAGTCCGCGAATATAACCCAGCCCGTAAAGACGAACCAGTCCGCGAAGATGACCTAAAGTCCAACTCCCCCACCCAAGTCACAACAGTCGTCTTCGCACCTGCTACCGTAGCCGTGGCACGAAAGTCCAAAGCTAATGAACTCTTAGACCGCCAAGAACGCGCTATTGCTGCTCTACTTACCCGATTCAAGAATCTGGTTTTACTTGCTGCATTACCTACTGAAGATGCATTTGCGAAGGAAACTGCCGCTGCAGAAGGACTGAGAATGGAGGTTGAAAGTAATGCTTTGGTATGGTTGTTTTTATTTTGTTTTGCCCAGCTTCTGTAGTATTCGAGTTTGAGTTTAGGGAACAAACGTAACTGACAAGTATATGAACAGACGAGCGCAGCAGAAGACCTATTGAAGCTGACTAGAGAATTGAAGGAACTGTGGACTTTCGGGCCATTGAGGGGAATTGGTGAAGGAGAAGGAGATGGAGAAATGGAGGCTGATTCGAAGAAGGTCGCGGAATTGATTGAGAAGCAACTGGAGAAACAACATGAGCAAGAGAAAATTAAGGCATAATCAGGATCCGCACTGGATATTTGGAGTTCAAAAGGGATACAGGGCTGGCTCTCATATCATTAATTTCCAGGGAGTATGGAAAAGGTGGTAGATACCAGGCGTTTTGGCAAGGCTTCAAACTTCTCGTCAATTATTTGAGGGTTTCCAGAATTATCTATTCTTGGCATGAAGTAGGTAAATCCTTTGATCTCTTTCTCTCTCTACTAGCTTTCTGAGCCAGTATTCTGTCTGATAACTGACAGAGTTTGGCACTTCACTTCGGGTCAGTGCAAGTTGAATTTGCCTAATAGCAATGCAGTATCATGCCACTGCCCCCACAATACAGCTTACAATCCACGAAGACTAGCCATACACATAGCAGCGCCTTATCATTGCATTACTGTACAATGGTGTATTGCAATACCGTACTTCAGAATCATGGCGGCATAGCGCTGCATAGTGCAACGTGTTGTGTGACATGGAACGCTGGAAGAAGATAAGACAAACGTGCGAATATAAGAAATAACATGTAATAATAATAGGGCGGAGGGCCGCGAAATCATGTGGCTTCGAAGAAACCTGGAAGCTTTTAATGCCGTGTCCTTGTGCGGGGAAGCCTCTTCAGAACAGAGTTATGGCTCTTTGAATAGTAGGGAGTCTGAGGAATATCCACTCGAGGGTGTTCCGCTCTAGGGTGGTGGTTTGATTGCAATGCCTCGCAGACAGACATATCGTTACACGCCATTTGAGCGACCTCGCCGCGCATAGTGTTGTAAATTACAGCCTTGTTGTGCTGATACTATACAATTGAATGTCACCACCCACTACAATCATATACTATGTGGTACAGAGATATAGGCCAAGATTCCAAACCAATGGATAAAGGGCGATTGCATTCCGACCCCGCTCTTTGAATGTGAGCTTCTCTTTGATTAGCTAAGGGGTCTATTGGTCTATTTGCTATTCCAAGATTGGAAATAGCTTCAACGCTTTCTATTTTTTCTTCTTTCAAATTTCTCCAATTTTTTGCACCACGCTTTCAAATCCAAGCATATCTTCTCTATGTCGGCGTTGTGCTTACAATCCACTGGTGGAGAAGCCGCCCCACAGCCCCGGGATATTATTCAAATATCAGATGATCATCGAAACCGAATCAAAAACTTTGAGGACACTCTCGAATCCCTTCCCAAAGGCTTTTCACCTCTTAGTCCAATGGAGAGAGCAGAACGTCATCGCTTGTACGGAGATGCCTATCGTCGAATTATCGAGTATTATCGAGCAGGCAAACCACTTCCAATGAATGGCAAATGTGTCTATACTATCACTGGCCAAGATGGTGTTTGGCGGGATACAGTAATTGAAATGATGAAAAAAGCAAGAGAGTTGAAAGGCTTTCCGGTTTTCGATGTAAGTCTCTTTTTCTACACATTTAATTATATGTCCCAATAATCTAAATCTGATTATAGCTTTATGCAATTCAAGCCTGCCATAACACAGAGACAGGCACCTCAAATGAATTGGGCAAAGGGCCTACGCAAGCTGAATCTGCTGCTGTTCAGATGGCTCAGAGCGCGAGTTTTAATGCTGGGCTGGGTGGTAACTTACATCCAGTTACCAATCCAGCTCATCTTGGATTTTAACAGGAGTTTAACGGAAGAACAGATTGGAGCCCAGTTCCGATTACCAAGTGATATGGATGGAGACGATAAAATGGTACCGTGGCTGGTTGATATCAACGAAGATTCCGGCTCAAACGTACGTACAGACCATTACTATAGAGATGTGGAACTATCTAAATGTTCATCACAACATTCCATCTTGGACTAGTACCGCTCTAGCCGATGGTTCTGTAGTCCGAGCTCTAGCGCCAGTGGTAGAATTGCAGATTATGGATAGAGTCTGTGCAAACTCGAATAATTGACAGCCTCTAACGGGTTGGTTTCCTGAGCTATGTATTGTTCGAGATAACTCTCCGCTTCTCTCAGGTGAAGTTATACGAAAGGAAATCTTTATCTGTTCTGCTCCCTTTACTAGCAAGATCTTTTTGGCCAAGAGCAAAAATGCTCTTCTCAATATAATGCCTGCTAATTAGGGTTTACAAAAGACAAAGTATAGAGCTTGACAATATTATTGTTGCTTTTTTGAGCTATTGGAAAAAAGTATAGTTTTTGTATCTGTTTGTTTATTGATAGTTCAGTTTGAGTTTTTTTTTAACGGCCGATAAAATGATCTAGTTTGCTCTTAATGAAATAGATCTAGAAGCTCTAGAGCTAGAGCTCTAGACTCAGAAAGAAAGATCTAAAGAATTGTTTTATTATACTACTACTAGTACGTAAAGTATATAAGCTAGTAGATGGAAGAGAGCCTGAGTCGTTAATTCTATTATATCTTTATGTTTCAAGTATGACACTATTCACAGGGTAGATGGGAAGCTTGTAGGGTAGAATCATAGGGTCTAAGTTAATTGTATTTTTACTAAGGAGTGAAGGGATCTATGAAGAGAGGAACTCTAGGTAAGCCAGAGTTCCTGCTATCCCCAAATGGGACTAGCTCCCCCTGGTCACGTGCACTACGAGAACCATTCCTCCAACACTTTATTTAAAAAAATTAATTAAAGATTCAAATAATAGTAATTGAAATTATTTACAAGTTTCTCTATATTTTATAATTTTTGTTTAAACTTAATGTTTAATACTGTATATAAATAGAATGAATGAAATATTAGATTCAATAAGCAAAATCGATAATTCCTATCTCTTTGTGGAAATTGTAAGTGATTGGCTGGGATCGAGATAACGAATAAGGCTGAAAGAAGGCTGATGCAAGCCTTGTTCACTGGATAGGAAATTTTCGAATAAAGAAATTTTGACTACAACATCAACAAAAAAGTCCAACCACTCGATGCTCTCCCTATCCAAAACCATCAATCTCAATCGCCTTGGACTTCTACGTCCCCTTTCAATTGCGATGTCATCACCACCAAATCCACGCGCAAGGAAGCAACCTCGAAGAGGTCGTTATTCCTCTCAGTTAGCAAGTACCAGAGGAAACGCCAGAGGCGGCAGAATTGTCCAAACCACATCACCTATTCAAAATGCGCCATTCTCTACTTCTGCATCTTTTGCAGAGGAGATGTCTGCAGTTGCTGCTCCTCCACTCAGTGCTCCAGTACCTCTCAATACTCCACGATTTGCAGATCTCGGTGCTGAAAAACTCCTCGACCCAGTTCTTCTCAAGACGATCACTGAAGATTTGAAATTCGACCATATGATGCCAGTTCAAGCTGCCACTCTCCGTCCTTTACTTTCAGAACGTGTCGACTGCTTGGCACAGGCAAAGACTGGAACTGGAAAGACCATTGCTTTTCTGATTCCAGCAATCCAAACTCTCATTAACAAACAGCGACGTCCTCAAGATGGAGTTTCTTTGTTGGTCATGACACCAACTCGAGAGCTCGCACAACAAATCGCAAAGGAAGCAAGTCAATTATTGCAACGTATTCCTGGCTGCAAAGTCGGGTTCGCCATCGGTGGCACGAATAAGACCTCAGAGGAGAAAAATATCTTGAATGGTTGCAATATCCTTATCGCCACTCCAGGTCGATTATGTGATCATCTTAGTGATGAAAGAGTTATTCATGCTTTCCGCAATCTTGATACTCTTGTTTTCGACGAGGCAGATAGGTTACTTGATATGGGATTCATGAATGCCATCAAAGATATTATCAAATGTCTTCCAAATAAGGAGAAGACAAACAGACAAGGAATGCTTTTCTCTGCCACCATTGCTCCTCATGTGGAGAAAGTTGCTCACTTAGTTCTCTCCAAAGATTATAAGTTCATCTCGACCATTGCCAAGGGAGAAGTCAATACTCATGAACGTGTTCCTCAACATCTCATTACCGTTCCAAGTTTCTCTGATGTGGCGTCAGCAATGGTAGGTTCTATTCGCGAGGAAATGAAATTGGAGGGCAAAGCCAGCTTCAAGGCTATTATCTTTGCACCTACCGCTGCCCTCGTTGATTTCTACGCCCATGTTCTATCTCAACTACCAGACCTCCCAGTCATCACCAAACTACACTCTCGTGTAACTCAAAGCAAGAGAACAAATGTCACCAACGAATATCGCGAAGCTACGAATGGTATTCTCGTAGCCACAGATGTCGTGGCTCGTGGCATGGATTTCCCTTCCGTCACGAACGTCTTCCAAGTCGGTATCCCCGCCGATAAAGAATCATACATTCATCGTCTAGGACGTACAGCCAGAGCCGGAAAAGAAGGCCGTGGTGTATTCATCGTTACCCAAGCTGAAACTCCCTTCTCCAAATGGACATTAAAAGAAATCAAATTCGTAGCTACGGCAGCAGATCTGAGCTCCGCAAGAGAAGTCCTAAACATCGCCTCAAAATCCGAAAACCCCAACAAGACATATCAAGCATGGCTCGGCTACTATAAAAATCACCTCAAGCTGTTGAATTGGGACTGCGCGGAGTTGGTCCGACAGGGAAATGTCTATGCAAGGGATGCTATGGGCAACTTGGAACCGACTCTCTTTAAAAGTATAGTTGGGAAGATGGGTCTCAAGGGAACTCCAGGATTGACCATTCTTCCTGATCCACCAAAGCTACCAGGTCCAGGTCGTGGTGGAGCTGGTCGTGGTGGTTATGGTGGTGGGGAAGGGAGGAGCGAGGGGAGTGGTGGAAGAGGTGGTCGAGGTGGTGGTGAAGCGAGTGGTGGACGAGGTGGTGCCACTGGTGGAAGAGGTGGTGCGAGAGGTGGTAGAGGTGGCTTTGGAAGAAACTAAGTCTTCATATCATCCATCGTATTATATGATTGATACAAGACTTAACTTCTACCGAGGCCTATACATCTGTGTATACTTTTACGTGGTTGTATCTCCCGATTTGATATCTTTACGACATAACGATCGAAAGGATGCAATACCGATTCTCACTACTCATTGATTGTATAGTGGATAGATGGGATGGCGAGATGGAGGATAGATGAAGATAGATGAGTGTACGACTAGATACCAATAAAATGACATGGATTAGATGGCGTAGTAGGCGTTTCATTTCGGTCAGCAGAGCTCAATAGAATAGAATAGAATAAAATAGAATTCAATAGCGGATAAGGATAATGAATAGGTATATTATATTTATCAAATTCAAATTCAAATTTCAAGTCTCTTAGAAGTTCAAGTTCGACTTTGTATATTTTATCTTCATATATAATAATGTTTGAATAATATTCATTGAATGTTTGTATAATCTTTATACTGGAGTATAACTAGTTAGTATACTAGTTAGAATACTTAGGTACTTAGTAGAGAATATCTACTACTACTATTACTAAATCCTATCCATTGTTCATTCAATCCTCATCAATCCTACTCTTTACTCTTTACTCGAATCCTTATTCATTAATGTTCATATACTTGTACTGTATATATAATCCACAATACCATTACCAATACCGATATCAAAACACTCAAAACTCAAACTCAAACTCGAAATAGGAATATACTCGAGTAGAACTTAGTGGGATAGGATCATAAGAATTTATGTTCAAGTTGGGGGGGTGAGGTGGTGATGAGATGAGATGAGGTGATGTGATGGGGTAATGATGATGAGATGAGATGAGATGAGATGGTGATGTAATGGAAATAAATACGGTAATGGCGGGTTTGTTGAGGACTTGAATATAAGAAAGCCGACTTTGGCTGTTGTTGAAAAATAATGATAAATGGGAAACTTTAGAGGGGAAAGGAGAATACATTTGTATCATTGTTATGCTCTCAATCCATGAGATGTTTTTATCTGAAGTGGTTCTGATCAGATATATTCATATATTCACAAGTATGAGGGACAAAAAAGATGCTCGAGAAAAAATTGCTTTTAATTTCATTTGGTTATCGCTAATATATCAGCCATCATTTGTGGCAAACTCCAAACCCAGTCCAGCCAGTCCTTCATCCCAGTCATGTCATTAAAATATGTATCATCCATTTATCTGCAGCAGTAACCACCGTCAATGATGATATCAGCTCCAGTGGTATATGTTGAAGCATCAGATACCAAGTAGACATAAGCACCCTTCAACTCCTTAGCTTCACCATCACGACCCATTGGGATCATAGACTTCCACAAAGCTTGAGTCTTTTGGTCGACAAAGTCGGAGAGACCAGTGTCAATGTAACCAGGGGAGATGGAGTTGACACGGGCAAAATCGCGCCATTCGTTGGCGAGGGATCGTGCCATGTGAATACATCCTGCCTTGGCAACGTTGTATGAGGTTTGTTCTTGAGGGAAATTGGCGATGTGACCAGACATCGAAGCGGTGATGACGAAAGAACCGGTTCCACGTTGCTTGAAGTGATGTCCAATAGCCTTTGCGCAGTGGAAGGTTCCGTTAAGATCGGTTTGGATAACCTCGTTCCCTGAAGAAGATTATTAGTGAAACCTCAATAAAAGTGAATGAGGAAGATAACTTACAGGCTTCAACGGTTCCATCAAGGATACCGCTATCAGCAGTTCTACCAGCGTTGGCAATGAAAGCATCAACCTGACCAAACTCCTTGATAACATCGGCAACCAACTTCTCAACACTAGCATAATCACCAATGTCCAACTTGTATGCCTTAGCCTTGACACCAAATTTCTCCGCCAATTCCTTTGCATTCTTCTCACCTCCCTCTGGACGGGAAGAGTATGTGATAGCAACATCAGCTCCCATCTCAGCACATCCTCGTGCAGCTTCGATACCCATTCCCTTTGGACCGGAAGCACCGGTAACGATGACAACCTTACCCTTCAAAGAAAAGAGATCCTTGAGGGAATCAGTTTTGGGAATGGAGATAGGCATGATGAATGTGTTTGTGTGTATATAAAAGAGTGAGGAATTGTGTATTATTCAGTTTGTTTTGGAGTTGAAAAGTCTTTGAATGAATTGAGTTGAATTGATTGATAGAATGGAAAAAGAAAAGAGAAGAGAGAAGTTGTCTTATATTTATCTATTCTCAGTCTTACACAAGAAGAAGGAACTACATAGCCGCTTTCGTACCTTCTATTGGATTGGAGCTAAAGGGATCTAATGCGGGGCGGCCCTTGGGCGACGAATGAAGCAATGACGTTCCCAACAACCCCGCGTGGTTTTTGTGTTCATAGTAGGTATGATTATGAAATCGAGCTGCATTGAGGTAGGTAGTCTCATAATATGATTGGTTTGCTTTAGTCAATTGAATCGAAATTTATAAGTTCTTTTCTTACATTGATGAACATATTTCACTATGTACTTTTACCCCTTCATTCCTCATTCCTCATCGTTTTGTTGTTGTTGGCTTATTTCGTTCCTGGCGTTTGTAAAGAGAGAGTGACATCACTAAAAATACAAATTCCATACTATAAAGCCCCGCTCCGCCCCGCATTAGACACATCGATAAAGAAGAAATCCCCCTGGCAAATTGCAACCAACAATCAAAAATAGCCATCTAAGCACATTCAATACCATGGCAGTAGTGGGTCAACTCATACTTGAAAATACCCACTATCTTCGGGACTCAGAACAAGGTGTTATTCGGTCCGGAAGGTACTTATGAAGTATGATGTTACGACGACTTATGATAGATATATCAAGCTAGAAGTTGTCCAGCCGAGTACGGTAGAAGAAGAAGTGGAAATAGAAGAAGGGAAAGAAGAAGGGAAAGAATCAAATCGACAAATCTATTTATCACCGAAATTACCAATTTGTGATATCATATTTCTGGATCTTGGCTTGGTTTGACTTGGTTTACAACTTCTGGATGAGGCATTGGGTTGGGGATTCAGGAACTGAGCTACCGGTATTGATTCTCTCAATCAAAGTTGTCACCGCTACTCCCAAGATCACGTTGACAATACACAGGCTGTGTACAGCATGAGTTATTAAGCAGCTTGCATCGCATCAACCTTCTGTCACGTTTCATAAATGCCGATAAAAGATTGGTCCTCACAGGTAACTTACCATTTTGGTCTCGTGGGATTAAATTGCTACAATTGCTTTGGAATACTGTTTTCTGACCGCATCAGCATCAGTAAGTACAAATTATAGAGTTTGAGGTGAGGTCAAAAGTAAGCTCGTACAACTTCAATATTGTATACTTCACTTCTCTTCACTTCACGCCAAGATTTTTGATATGAAGACATACTCGATCAAAATAGGTAATGAAGTTTCATTATCTTATCAATGCCCCAGTCGGCGCGGCGGCTTCCGATTAGGATTGGTACGTTGATGGTGGGATGGTGGGGTAGTTAAACTTCAATTTTTAGAAGAAAAAGTACTATCGTCTCTCCTTTGTGCGACTTCACTCAATGTTTAATTTTCTCTCATTTAAATCCCATCTATCTTTGAGATGTCTCCAAGACCACCAACATGTCTTCAGCCCTTGATTGCTCGTCTACCCCCTCAAGTTCGCTTCCTCCCTTACCCCGCCATTAGGATAATATCCCTTTTGATCCTCATCAATATTGTTATTTGGGTCGTGGTTTCTATTGTTTTGCGTTCTAATCCACTTCTATCTTCGTCGGCTGTACTTTCATATACATTTGGTTTGAGACATGCTCTGTAAGTTCTCATCTCTCTCTCAGAGAAACCACTTCCTTTACCATCATGTGACTCTCCATCACAACCCAAGCTCATCCCAACATCAGCGATGCCGATCACATTTCCGCCATCGATCTCATGACCCGCCGTCTAATTGCCTCCGGTTCGCCTCATACATCCCAACCCGTAACAGTCGGTACCTGGTTCTCGTTGGGTCACTCTACCATCGTCATAATAACCTGTATCGTCGTTGCAGCCACCTCTGGCGCTCTCGAATCCCGCTTCAATTCTTTTCGCAACGTGGGAGGTATTATCGGTACGGGCATTTCGGCTGGTGTTCTGATCTTACTGGGGATTGGTAATGCATGGATTTTATGGAGATTGGTGGTGAAGATGAGAGGAGTACTAAGGGAAGAAGTCGATGGGGATGGAGGTGAGACTGGATTGGGCTTCGAAGGAGGAGGAATCATGATGAGAGTTCTGAGAAGGGTCTTCAAAGTGATTGATCGTCCTTGGAAAATGTATCCGCTGGGTGTGCTATTTGGTCTTGGTTTTGATACCAGTAGTGAAATCGCGGTACTTGGAATTGCATCTGTTCAAGGCGCGAAAGGAACTAGCATTTGGCTGATTTTGATTTTTCCCGTTTTATTTACTGGTATGATCTACATTTCGTTTTCTACAGGCTAGACAGTGGGATATGAAATATTGGGAGAAGAGGTTCTGACAGGATAAATAGCCGGCATGTGTCTAATCGACACCACCGACGGCGCACTAATGATGACGCTCTACACATCCACGTCTCTCGCTCGCGACACCATAGCAATCCTCTACTACTCAATTGTTCTTACAGGTATCACAGTTCTAGTAGCCATCTGCATCGGAGTGATCCAATTACTTTCCCTTATTGCGAACTTCTCAACAGGACCGTTTTGGGATGGGGTGAATGCTGCGGGTGATCATTTCGATGTTATTGGTGGGGGCATTTGTGGCGCTTTTGTCGTTTTTGGGGGTGCGAGTGTGGTGATTTATGGTCCTTGGAGGAGGTGGGTTGAGAAGGGTAGGGTGGGGGGAAGAGGGGCGGGGATGGGGTTGGAGAATGGGAGTGGGAGTGGGAGTGGGAGTGGAGAGACAGAGGTAGAATTGGGGGTTATGGGGAAGAAGGGAAAGAAGGAAGATGAGATTAGAGATATGGATAGAGATGAGAAAGATATTGGCAGACTTAGAGACAAGGTGATTGAAGTGGAATAAAGGGGTTACTTATCAACAATTTAAAATATAGGAAATATCATCAACTGGTATTCCTTAATTCTCTTTAGATATTGGAAACTTCGGCTCGAGTACCGTTACCTCGCTTGAGACTGATTTGTCTTTTACTTCATTCGGATTCCTGAGCTTTTGTTGATATTTGGATTCTTGTTATATGTTTAACGGCCGTAATTTTAATATCTTTACGGGGATAGATAATATTAAATTGCGAATATCCACTGGTAAGTAGGTTTCTGTTAAGTTTTGATTTCTGAAGATTTCGTTGTGTTTTGGTGGGGGTTGACGTATTTCTACCATCTTGGAGTTTTCGGTTTCCGTAACGTTAAGGGTCACACAAAGATTCTCATTTCATTTCATTCCCACTCTCATGTTGTTGTCCGAAAATGGCATACAATTGACAATACGATGTGATATTTTTCCGATGAGAATGATGTGAATGTCCATACCGTATATATAAGCCGGTACATATATAAATATGGCCCAGATGATCAAAGCATGGATTAAGCTGTGTTTGGTTGACGGAAGAAAGCTCCGAGGTAGGTAGGTGGGGACATAACGTCATTAAAGAATGAGGAGCAGGAGGGAAGCAAGCTCTAAGCTCTTTGATGTCGAGGTATATCTTTCATTCCATACTTGTACAGTAACTCGTATTTTCATCAAAATTATCCACCACAATTACCCACCACAGTAAAGTGGAATAAATCAAAGTATGGCCGAACAAGATACACATGCCTCTCATTTTGGAGGTCATCCTATTCGCACTGAGAAAATAACTGAGAAGGTATCAGGATGGACTGTGGCAAGTCTAGGTAAGTTCCCTTCGCCCATAATTTGCTCTATCAACAAAGAACTTTCAGATTAAGCCGCAATAACAGGCAAAGCATCAACAAACAACATACCCAATTCTGCCCCCTCTGAACAAGATCGCTTTGGATCTAACTCATCCATCATCCCACCATGGAATACCGGGGTGAATGCCACAGCAGTAGGACTGCTACAACGCAGTTTCCTTCCAGCTTTAACCACAAATTCAACCCTCTCACTCATCTCATACACCATCGCCCGTCTCACAAACCGTTTTGATCTCAAAGATGTTTTCTGGCCACTAGGCCCTCTCATCACTTCCTGGACCGTCGCACTTCAACGACATAACTTTGATATATCACAAACATGGTCTAATCTGGGATATCCTCAAAAGGTGGTCCTGGCAGGTCTAACAGCCTGGTCAGTCCGTCTCTTTTACCACATCACATCTCGAGCTATTTCTCGCGGCCAAGACGATGCACGCTATACTTCTCAGCAAAAAACTCCTGACTTTTGGAATAAATCACTTTTTTCAACGTTTCTTCCAGAAGCGTTGGTGCAGTCGATTATTGCCCTTCCTTTCACAATGTGTCTCGCAGCGCCAGAAGTTCTTCTTGGAAATCAACCACTTCCAGGTAACCCGGGATATCAAATCGCTAACGCAGCTGGTGTTTTCCTCTTCACGACTGGTTTTGTATTGGAGGCGGGTGCGGATTGGCAGTTGGAGAGTCATAAACAGGACCGGACTGTTGGGTTGTTGACAGAGGGTATTTGGAGTATTGTTAGACATCCTAAGTATGTATTTTTCTCTCATCTTCCAATACTGATAGTGATTAAAACATAACTGACATCCATCCCCACAGCTACCTAGGTGACACACTCCTCCACGCATCTTTCCCACTTATCCTCTACGGCGCTGGACTCTTTCATCCTCTTATGCTTCTTGCTCCTCTTGCCAACTACACATTCTTGAGATATATAGGAGGTCAGGGAGAGAATGAGGTCGAAGTAAAGGATTCGAGAAAAGTGAAGGATCTCGAGAAATATAAGAGGGAGAAGAATAGCTTTTGGCCGGGTGTGGATGAACTACATAATGAATGGACTTGGACTGTTGTGGCTATTGGAGCGGCGGGTGTGTTCGGGGAGTGGGGACTTAGGAAGTGTTTGTAAGGGTTACTGGAAAGAGGAACAAATGCGGCTTCATTCTAATCATCGCTCTCATAACAAGCTTAAGAGGGATTGACCTCGCCATATATGATTACAAACACAGGGATGGGGATATACAGTATGAGCATGGGAAAGAAGAGTAAGATTGTGAGTGGATCATTTAGTAGGTATTTGGCTTTTAATCTGTTTGTTTAATGATAAGAAAGATGCAACGAACTATGATTTTCACATGTCCAAAGTTCGTATATTTCATATCATCAACCTATTATTACATACAGTACGAAGAATGTATACTACAAGGTAGTTTGACTCAAATAGCATTCTACAACTCATCCTTACATCTTTCTCGAGCCATCAATTAGGTTTCATCAAAAGTATTAAAAAACACCCATTCAACCCTTCCAAGTGATTCAAGTGATACAGAATTGACCTCCAAAGAAAAACCTTTTGCATCTACTCTTTTCCTTTCTAATAGAATAGAAGAATTTAGAAAATGTATTACTTGCAGCCTTTTAATCTTCTAGCCTTTTCATAATCATCTCATGAATCTATTACCTAGAAGTACCTAGGTAGGTTGATAGGTAGATATCTTTATGATTTCCATTCATTTGTTCTGATTTTGTTTGTCGTTCGTTTCGTCATAATGTCTTGTTTGGCGGGGTTGTGCATACATATACTGTAGTCCTTTTCTTTACTCTTCATCTTCATTCACTTTACTTCACTTCAGTTGACACTTACTTCACTTCATACTTCACACTTCACACTTCATACTCCACACTTGACGCTTCACTTGACACTTCACTTCACTCCACTTCACACTTCTTTCTGCTTGACTCATTCGCGCGCCAAAATGCACTGTTGAACTTAAAACGCGGAGTATGAGTATGAATACATGTATGGGACAAAAGCGCATCAAATCACATCTACTGCTTTAATCTGCGTCGCCGAGGAAGAGGAACGGGGTATATCACTTTCCGCATTCACGTTTACACGGAGATCGATATCGTAACCAACAACCACAAGATTCACCTTCGTCACAGTCACAGTTACAGTTACAATAGGAAAAAAGAATTGGATCGATAATACCAATACTGTACACTTCTAGATCCACGCGACAATTCACCCTCGTCAAAACACCAAAGACAAATTGATCGGCAATACCTCCAACTTTCTGACCCGCGCGATAATAATAATACGAAGAAAAATTAAAATCATCACAAGCGCTCTTCTTCTATCCACAGCTCTTCCTATTTCTCTTTTTCACCATTTCGCCAAGCGCAAAAGGTGCTCGTTAGTAAGGAAAGGAAGCAGAGGAAAGAAGGCAAATCTGGAATTTCGCTGTTTCATTATAAGAAACATTCGAAGGGATTTTTGAAGAAGAGATTTATGTTAATAGAAGAGAGAGAGAGCGAAGTGCAGGATCAATTGTTGAAGGAACAGTTTGCGGAAGATTCAAGGATTATTAGGGAGGGGATAATGTCTGAGGCGGGTGGGAGTTCGAGTGGGAGTGATGGGAAGGGCTCGGGATTGGATGCGGGTTTGAGTGAGGGTGTGAATGCGAATGTCCAGGAGAGGGATAGGGATGGAGGCGGAAGTCAGAGTGTTGTTGGGGGTGGGTATGCGGGGTTTGCGAGTGGAGGTTTGGGTTCAGGTAATGGTTATGGTGCTGGTATTGGTATTGGTAGTGGGAATTTTCGGGGAAGAGAGCCGAAACTTGAGGAGAATGAGGTGGTTTTAGAGGGACCTTTGGTGGCATTGAAAGCGTGAGTTCTTTTCTCTTACTTAATTTCTTTACTTTTGTTATTTTAGTTGGATTTGGGAACTATGCATGGGATGGGATGGTATGGTATGGAATTGGAAGACAGACGTGACGTCGCGAAATTGAAATTGAAAACTAATTGAATTGATTTGATAGAGCACTCCTCGCAGGAAGATTCTCCGACTTGACCATCTTTCATGGTGTTCGTGTATGGAATGCGCATAAAGTGGTTGTGTGTTCTCAATCGGCGGTTTTGGAGAGTATGATTGATAATACTGGGGTTTCTGATATGGTTAGTTTTCCATTTCGATTATTCCGTTTCTCATTCTTGATATCGCTCAACTTTATCATTTCTGTTCCCTCCCTCCCCACATCTTACACAACACAACACTACTAACCCCTACTCCTCCCCCATAGTTCGGAAACCCAACCAAACCCAGCATCCTCAACCTCTCCTCCTTCCCCCTCGACTCCATCACCGCACTCATGGAATACCTCTACACATCCGCCTATTCGATCCCTTCACCCACCGGTAATTCCTCCCCCTCAACATCAACCTACGCCTCCGGCCCCTCCTATTCCCTACCTCTACACGAACAAATCTTCTATCTCGCCGTGCACCTACAAATCCCCGCGTTGGAAACCCTGGCCGCGGCTTCTTTTCGCCATACACTCAATACGCAAATCTCAAACCTCGATGTATATTTCGCATCCATAACACGCATCTATGGGAAAACTACAGAGAGCAATCCAGGATTAAGAAATGCGTTGGTGGAGGCGGCGGTGCAGGAATTGGGGGGGTTACTAGGGGATGATAGATTGAGGGATACTCTTTGGGGTGCGATGGGCAAGAATAGAGAGTTTTGGGAGGGGGTATTGAGGTTTTTGGGTACGGGGAGAGATGTAGAGGTTAGGGAGGTGGTGAGGGAAGTGAGGGTTCCGGTGGAGGTGGAGGTGGAAGTGGAGAGTAAGAGGATTTTGTGTGAGCAGTGTGGTCCGTGTGAAAAGGAAGAGTATGTTATTGCATGTGCTTGTCGGGGCTGTGGGGAGGATAAGGTGATTAAACTTTTTTAGGATGGGTGGGAGAGGAGAGGGAGATGGATGGATAGGTGGATAGATGGATAGTGATGGATACGATGGTTCGGATGGGTTGGGTTGATATGACATAAGATACGGTAAATGATGTGTGGGATGTGAATGAATGGGATGTTGAATATGTACATTAGCACGATTTACGAATTTATGAGAGAGGGATGGTAAATGATTAGGCGGAAGTAATGAGCTGGCGAATAATATCGGATCTGATATGATCTCTTGTTCTCTTCATTATTCTCTTGTGTTCTTGTTTTGCTTTCTTTTCTTTTAAACGTCATCTTGCAATGAATGTAACATGAAATTCTATATATGGAATTTTTATTCAAGTTTATCGCATCGTATATATTACGAGTAATGATGTATTTTATGAAAAGATGGGAATAGGAGTCTCACTAAAGATTTAAGTAGCGTTTTGGGGGAATATCATGTATATCATGTATGTGAAGATGGGAAGGATGGGAAGGATGGGAAGGATGGGAGGGTTGGAAGGATGGAAGGATGGAAGGGTTGAGGAGGTTGAGGGAGGTTTAGAGGCGGACTGTATTCTTCCAAGGATGGGTTTGGTGGGAAAGTTGGGGGGGGGGGGGGAGAGATTTCAGGGAGGATTTATAGATGTGCATGGAGACTACTAGGTATGCTGAAAAGACGGAATTATAGGTGAATTGTTAGGATCCAGATATGAGCGGAGAAAGGGCGGAGGTAATTGGATATAGGTTCCAGTGGTTTTGCTTGTAGTTATTTGGAGGTAAAGTAATCCCATTGCTGGAATATATTATGGCATACCGGTATCCGTCTCCCAAATCTAGCATATTTTATACGAATGGCTCAGGCCTGCCTTTATAATCCCTCCGCGCTCTCTACTCCCCCTTCATGATTCCTCAACCCTCTCCCACATCTCGAAAATATATTTGACGCCCCCCTCCTCCTTCACCCCCTCCACATCCTCTCCCTCCCCAGTCCATTCTCGAAGTGCTTGAGTATCCCTCCTCCTCCAATCCTTCCCCGTTCCATCCTCCTTCAGCTCCACCGGAAAATATGTATCGCATTCAAAATCCTCCAAAATCCTCGTCAATAATATCCTCTTCGCCTGCTTCAATTCCAATGCTGCCGTATATATTTGTCCTCCCCCAATTATGAATACTCGGTCGATTTCCTTCTCGTTCTCATTATTCGTTTCTTTTGATTGGGTCCTGAATTCTAGCTTCTCGAGTGCGTCCGTCAAACTTGTCCCTGCATGCGCATCGGGACCGAGATCGATGTCCGAGGAATTGGAGGATTGTGTTCGACTAATCATATAATTTGCTCGTTTTGCTAGTGGTCGGTATTTGAGAGGAATTGATTCCCAGGTTTTGCGCCCCATTACTACTGCGTTTGTTTTCTGTTCAAAGATTTCTTGGTCAGTTTACACTCTTCATTCTGCCACCTACCAAATTGTTCTGCGCATCCATTCCTGACGAGGAAAGACAGGATCGCATAAGCTCTTGGGCCTCCCTCATAGGCCTTCATTGGAGGGTCTTTAGAGACGTTCAAATGAGATTTGATTCAATAGGTAGAAAATGAGAAGAGAGGAGTAGGATAGAAGCTTGGTAAAGCAGAAAACACATACCCCAGGACCAGCCCTTTTAGTAACCCTCGCAAAATAAGCCATTTCCTTTCTCAACCCCGTCCATGGAAGCCCACCTCCCTTTCCGACTCCCATTCTATTGGTGGCAGCCACGATGAGGGTAAATTCTTTATTGGGAGCCATGGTGGATGTGGTGGAACTGGTGGACATATTGATATCAAGCAACAGAGGATGGGAATGATAAATGGAGGGGTTGGAGGGGTAAAATTATGAAAAGTCTGGGGAATATGGGCACGGACCATTCATTGAATGCAGGTACTAATATATTACTAAGCGATTATATAGACCACTAAGATTTCATTGTACTCTAATTCTTTGAAGGCAATCTTACAGTTATAAAAGCTTTGAATTTCTAAAATTAGCTCAACTTAAACGATTGACCTTCACTCCCCTAACTACTAATTAATTTATTAGTGAAATAGATCCATATTAATTACCCAAGTACCAATAAATCCGAGTCATTATCATATCCATAACCAAAAACCGAGAAACTCGAGCGCAACGCGCCTTCGGCAAACACAGTGCACGAAGCAAGCGAGCCTCCAACTAACTTGCTCCTAAGCAAAGGCTAATTTTTGGTTCTGCCAAACAGAAGAACGATGAGTATTTCACGAATGGCTTGAGCATCCCTTTGTAGTTAAGCTAATTTGTTTTCTCATTTTCATTCCAATCATGTTTAGCATTGTACTTTGGAGTGGGTACCGAAAATTATTTGACTGGAGCCTGAGGCAGCCACTATATGTATAAGATCTCCATTCCAGAATGGTAAATGTCCGTCTAATCTCTTATACAGTAGCCTGATTCCTGAAAACCTTTCTAGGGTGTCGTCTGTTTTATTGTTTATATGGAGATTAGATAAAGTAGATACACATTTACTCCCAGTTGATTGAGTGATTATTCTCGAGTATCTTCCAGTCTTCAAATTCCAATACCGATCATCCGAGTCGTTTGAATATTGAATTTGATTGGAAGAATCTTAAGGTTACAAAATCAAACTAAACTTAAGGATGTCCCTCGGATTGAATTCACTTTTTGGTCCGACCCATATATCACAGTACCCGCCCACAGCCCGCACCCCAGGCACCCGCATAGGGGCAAGAGTCGCTACGCGCCATCGTTAACGCCGATTAAAATGAGATGCATGAACATGGGTTCGAGACAATGCCTTCGAGCTCTCTCATAATATTAATTAATGTAAGGATACTGAATTGGGAATTTTCTACCAAGGAAGTTGATTGCAACACCATATATAATGTAGAAATTTCGGCTTTAACAACAGTGAGTCTACCCCATAAGGTATATATATATTAAACAAGTCGCAATTCTTGCACAAGTCAGTACTATAGTTTATAATCCGAGTATATACGACGAGGAAAACTTGGAGTGATAAAAATGATTTCAATTGAGCCTGGTGAAATTCGTGATTTATCGAAATGGGAGCGAGACACAGTATGTATTGGGGCATTCGTATTATTCACATCCAAGCTGAATCCAGCCTGAAAGAGTTGATGGGTCAATGGATTATTTGACACCGGCTTCCTAGCACATTAGCAACACTGGAAAAGGCTAGTCACGGTACTTAGAGCATGCCCAACAACCAGCTTTCGTGCCCTGCAAACTTTGATGATTGAGTAAAATCTTTCCATTTCTTTCTACCAAGACCATATAATTGTCAATAACTTGAAAGCAATTAAATCTCAAAAAGCCCACCCCCTTCACTCATCAAACCAGTACTCCATATACCCATAAAAAACCACAGCATCTCCAGCTGATGTTGCTTCTCCTACCCCATTTCATATTTCTCTCTTCATCCCCTTCCCATCATGAACCCCTCCTTCCACCCAGCCCCGGCATTCAAAACTCCAAACTCACAATCTTCTCTTTCCCTCCACATCCCCCCACCTTCCCACAATTCCCCGAGCAAGCCCCAATAGACCCAGTAGACTTTTCCGAGCCTAAAGATACTTTCTCTCCACTGACATCGACATCTCGAACCTTATCGTCTCGAGTGTCCAGAGATGTGATTGCTTGGCCTGGTGATTTAGATGAGCAGACCTTTGAAGGAATCTTTCTCGTAATGGATTTACTGGGACTGTTTGTGCTTCTTGATAGGTCATGTTAGCTGAAGTCCTGGGATGGGATTGCTGTTTTGATAGAAGACGAGGGAGTATTACTGTTGAGGCATTATTAGGAGATATGTGAGGGAGTGAGTATGAGTGCTTAAGATTGAACTATAAATTTTCGTCTTGGGGTCTTGTCAGCTTGTGAATAAATAATTATATAGAATGTTAGAATGTACAGAAGGCTAAGGGATAGTGATACCTACAGAGTAAATACTGATGGCTGGTTTGCGTGGTTTAAGTCGTCGTCAAGATCACTGCACAAAATAGGAGTAAGATTTAAGGATCAGTAATTTTAAAATAGACAAACACTCATGCTTTTATATTGACATTCCAATCACACCAAAGATAATGCTGATCGAAATATGTATCAGAGTGGCGTGATCTATTCGTAATATGGCCTGTTTATTATCGCATGTGTCTGCGCCGGCAAATAGAGTTGTATGAATTTAAAATGAAATGTGTATTGGACTACGTAATATTTCCTGAAATGCTTGGATGTGTTGGTATTGATTCTAGAGTGAGGGTGGGGGTCGGATCAAAGTTGGAGGAAGGGAGGAAGGTGACTGCATTGCGATATTATTGACATGAAATCACACGGGGATATTATTTTCAGGCATGTATTTCTTTATAAAAATAGTCTTTTCGCATTGGAAAATCTGTCTGCTCTAGATAGAAGTAATTGCAAACTATTACACGGCAAGATATTGTATTATTGAACCACCGGCAGCGGTCTCAAACTCCCCTCCTCTTCTCTCGGTGAATAACGGAGAGGAAGGAGTTCTTCGACCACCCATCACCACCAGCTGGTGATGGGTGGGTGGTGGGTGGGTGGTGGAGTAATTTATATGTTACATGATTCGAACGGGGGGAGCGGTGGGGGAGGGGGTAGAATCTATGGTGGAGAAGAGGAGTAGAGTTTGAAAACTCTAACCACTCCTATCGAAATATTAGCGTTGACCATTCATAATATGAAAGCTCTCGAACCTACCAAGCCGCCAATGATGATTCGAAAATCTCTATCCGATAATTTGTGACCTTCGATGGCCGCAACGACGGTGGAGAAGGTTCCCATATATTGATATACCTCATGTGAATCGTAACATTCAAGGAGGCGTCTCCAAACACCCTACTCTTCGAGGTCCAGAGATACGCGGACGTTTTGCTACTCTATATGTATCTTTGGACTCGACGTTATTGATCTGATGCCTTTGAAATTGGGGTGCTTCAGTACGAAACATTCTTTCCGTAATTTCAGGATGGTCGTTGTCATTCGTGAACATGAAGAGAGTTCCGTCTTTGCATGGCAGTATGCGAGGGTTATCCTCGGATGACAACGGTATGCTTGGTTGTGCCGGCCTTAGTCTTTTAGGAACACATAATGTTAGCAAGAGCTATTGTGTAGTACGTAGTTCCAACATTCAACTGACACTTGGTTTGGTCTTCGACTTAGCAACGCAGAGGGGAGGTGACCGAGAAGCATTTCTGTGACGAATTCTTTGGCTTTTTCTTTGGATTTTTCTTTGCGGATAAATTCGATACGATCAATGTCTTCTTGTGACAATGTTCGTGTCATTGGATTAGACATTCTCAAAGCTACTAGTATCTAGGGAGATATAAATAAGATAATAATGTAATTGAGCAGGTTAATCGAGTGACAGTGTGTAAATCAATCGCAGATTGAATCCCAAGTATAAATTAAGTGTCAAATGGCTTGCTGTTTATCTAGGCGTGGAATGGCAACTGTGGTAGGGTATAAAAGTGGGTAAACAGGAAATTATATGTTAATGTTCGCTTAATTATGCTTAAGGTCAGTCGAACATTTCCCCGGCAATATATCGTGGAATATCAGGGTAAGTAGGTATAGGAATACACCGGTACGGAGGGCGTTCCGATGAAGACTCACTGTCTTGCTTTCTGTACCATGACCATCAGACCCGTGAAAATGCATAGGAAAAATCTAGGAAGGTATGTACCTTAATGAGGTGATCTGGCTTCCCTTTTGAATTACAAAAATATCAATTCTGTAGTTGCTGCTTGTATTTCTGATCTGTATCCTCGAAAGTCTAATGACGACTTACATGAATACGAGTGGGTCAAGAATTATCCTGAAAGATATGGTATCAAGAACCATGCATCTTTTGTATTTTGATAGCACGGGAGTGCATGGAAGGCATAGTGGCGCAATTCACAGTTAAATAACGGACTGAGATATTCACTTGTTCAAATTTTGCTGATTAATAGGCTCGCAATCTAAGGGGGGTGGTTGGGATAAGACATATATGGTAATAAGCAACTTGCCAAATTTATTTTGACAGGCGAGGTGGTGCAGTGGTATAATGCCGGTGCACTGACAAAAAACACTTATTTACAGAGCGGACCCTCACTATAAGCTAAGCGGAATAATATGTTAAGCCATACTGAGAATTGTGGAGCTTGAAGCTAATAATGACTGCTGAAAAGAGTTTAAAATCTGTAGATGTTATCACGTGTTGGTGGTTTAGGCAAAGCTCAATACAGAGGGATATGGGGCACGATGTCTCTTTTGCACTCTGGATAATTAGCCATTCTCTAGTTAAGTCAATACAAAAGCATATGCTGAGTTTCGGTGCCTTTCCCTTCGGTGGCAGAGCACCATTGGAGTTGTCATTAGAATGATTGTTGTATTGGTGACTCAGGCATACTGGGGTGTTAGACGAAAAGCATGTCTCGGCGATGAATTGTCGAGGTTGTTAATGGGTCGTGTTCTCAAGCTCTAACATATTTGATCAGCTCTCTTAAAATCTTTTGTTTGACTCATGAACACATGGATGAATTCATTTTTTGCAGCAAGCTTCAGTCTATGTAATCGTGGAAGGTGTGAGTCACTCAGCACTAGCCAGTTAAATTGTCAAGTTCCCACACCTGCATATGTAACGGAAAGTCCTAATGGTTTTCAAAACCTTCTCAAAGGGGCTAATATGAAGCTATCACGACTTTTACGAAAGGGACACTTCTAGTCTTTCTATTGGTGGGGTGACTAACCAATCTACCATCGTGACGGATTTGTTCAGATCGGCAATCCAAGCATGATCCCTTCCGAAAGCGGCGTAACCTCATCGATTTGAAGCTTCTTTCTTACCCCAGCACCAATGAAGAGATAAGAGAAGGTGGGACTTCAAGTCTGGTTAGTGATATAGTTTGATCGTGGCAAGATTACACTCTACTGCAGTGTAGTCAACAATTGAACAGTCGAACCAATACACTGGTAGACTCTACTATATTTAACTCAGACAGGCATAAGTACCATCCCGTTAAGTTTGGACCGTTCAATTCCAGTTTCCGTGTACTTTTAACCCCATCTTAGGGTAGAAAGTAGGAGTCTGGTAATATCAGAGGGGCACGGCGACCGCTACCCCATAGTTGTGCATACCATATCAATCGTCAACCATTTTGAGAATGTAAACTTAACTAAGGAAATACACACTTGCTTATTGAATGTATGAAATATATTGGAATCTGGCGATCTGATCGACTACATTTGTAACCGTATTTTTCTAATTTTCGGGAATAAATATAGATATATCATTGCATAATTGGTCAAAGCCTTCGGGAAGACCTGCACTAAGTACACTAAGCCACACTAGAATCTCAATTTATAACCTTTCGGGCACTAGCAAGACTCTATACCGTGGTCTGGAGATAAACTTTCCAGTCAAACACAATCAAACAAAGACGTTTATCCCAGAAAATATTCGAGATTCCGTGGTACTAGCATCAGGCATATTCCTACAATCAATCATCAAAACCCCACAAACACATCCATTGAGCCAGCTAAAACTCTATAGTCTATGATTTAAAGAATTAAACACTTATTACTTATGGAAAATACAGTATTTAATAACTAAACTGAGCTAAATATAGAAAGTGGCATTAGGGCTGGAGATTTTGAGTTGACTGTTTGTATGTGAGTTGATCAATTGACCTAATTGACTAGATTGCAATTTGAGTTGATGTTTGCTTTGTATTATGTGGAGAGGGGGGGGAGAGGGAGAGGGAGAGGGAGAGAGGGATAGAAAGAGAGAGAAAAGGAGAGAAGAAGAAAAGAAAAGAGACAAAAAAAAAGAAGGAAAGGGGAATAGGAGGAAAGAGGCATTCTAAGAAAAAAGTTTATATATATACTTCAATTGACTAGTTGGAACACAATCTCGAATTGACAGATTTAAATTGATATTGCAATATGAATTGACGGTCAATCTCCAGCCCTAAGTGGCATAACTATACATCAATAGTAATAGCAATATCAGCCCAGTTACTACAAAGACACAACTCTCAAAACAAGGAGCCAAGTAACCACCTCAGACCTGCCTAGCTGTGATATTACGCCCAATCCAAACCAAAAGAATCTTTGAAAAAAAAAATACAGATAAAAGATAAACCCACTAGGAAGACCCTGGATTATATTGATATATATCACTCGGGAGTAGGGGTGTGGTGGACCGTGGACCATAATACGACGCAACTTGCGGTCATCAATTACACACAAGAATCATAGAAGTAACGGGAGAGGCTCAACTAAAGCACTAGCTCATAGCGCTAGACAGCGGTAGAGCCTCCCGACTATAATAGACATGTACCCTCTTGGCCCTACTAGGTATGTATAGCCAGATAATAAAAACATCAACTTCGAACCACCAACACAGCTAGAAACACAACATATAAGCACCGATATAGATTCTTAACCGCCCCATCAACAACTAATACTCACAACCAAACAGAACACATATTTTCTGCTTGCCTGCCCTTATTTATCTATATCCTTCTGCACATCCATCCTCCATCTTCCATCTTCTATCTCACATACCCTCCTTACTCTCCGGCGTCTCCATACTCTCCGGCGTCTGCGCCCAAACTCCTAGCAGCCAGCGGCCCAGCATATCGTATCTGAAAGAAACCTCGCTAATCTACATCATAAATATCATATCATATCTGCAGCAGCTCAAACTGCAAAGCTGTAGAGTAGAGTCGAGGAAAACACCTGGTACGATGGAAATTGAAAAGGTAGCTAGTTTGGCTCGGGAACAGTATGCATGTATATATATATATGTGTAAGTATGAATGAATGTACGTATGTATAAAGCTTACTTTCTATAGCTCTATTGTATTATAGACAAGCATACCGGTATACGATTTCGCCTCCTCTTTCCCCCTCACAACTAGCAGCTAACAAAGGAGAAGAAGGAGAAGAAGAAGGAGATGAAGTGCTCCAACTTGGAGGATTCAAACTTCGGCATGGCATGGCATGTTGGAGATATGGAAAGGTTTTGACATCCGAGATCCTCCTCAAAGATACATGAGAAAAGGGGGAAGGACAAGAAAAACAAAAACAAGACGGTACAGGAGAAGAAAGTCAAAGAATCATCAATTCAAATATCTCGTAAGCGTATCTCACATTTTCCCCGCCCTTGTTTCTTATTTCTTAATTCTTATATTTTGAATCATTTGGAAGTTTGTGTGCCAAACATAGTACATATCACAAGATCCATCCAATGAACTCAAGTGATGTTTTATCCATCACTCAATAATATATGACCAAATGTGTCCTTCCATATAAAATTATCGTTCATTCTCTGTTTTCGAGAAGGGGGATAGATGATAGGTTGAAGGATTGGGCATTGAAAATATTGAAAATGGATGGAAAAGCGATATAATGACGGGAAAAAAATTTCGTTGATCAGGAGAGGAGCAGGAGAGGAGCAGGAGAGAAGTAGGAGGGGAGGATTGAATACGCTGCCTGCGAAAACAGTCACTTGTCATTCTCATCAAACATAAGGCCATGCCATTTGGACTTGAGCCGAGTTCCTTTCCCCTTTGAAATTATACTAAAACCACAAAAGCTCGAAACTCGAAACCAGAAATCAAAAACACTAAATAAAAGATATTACTTAAAGGAAACTTTTGTTCTTTAAAGAAAACATCTATTCTTATAAAAACCGGCCATTTATTTTCAACATGTCCATTTATGTTTGTTTAATTCGTTATTATTGGGAGCTACCTAGTACTAAAGGTTAATTCCCTCGTGACACCCTGTTGCCCTATCAATACAAAGTTGTAATTTACAGTCAAAAGGCACGATAATTGAGCCACCTAGCTTGTGTTTCCCGCTTCAGTTAATAGATCCTTTCCCGGGGCTTTATCAAATGGTAGATCCATCAATTTGCTTTTAATCCCGACAAAACTGGCTTCTCCTGCAGGGTCGGCAAAGGTCAATTGTCCACTCATGATCTCCTCATCTGTGAGCTTCTCTAGCCCTTGCAAAGTACTTCTCATATAACTGACAATCGTCGCAAGTCCTTTGATGTCAATATCCTCGTTTGCTTTGAAGATATTTCTCCAGACAGCCGCCGCCAATACAGCATCACCCTTGGCCAGACCCTCGTCATACGCTGCTAGAAGGCCTCGCCATTGGACAAACATGTCCTTGAGGTACTTGTTACGAGTACCACGAGCATGCATGTTGTGATTGATAATCATTTTGTTCTCGGCATCATAGAAGAAGTGGTCGAGAAGATGTTGTTGCCAAGGCTGCGATGCCGTACCGGGGAGACATCGGAGGCGGACAGACAACAAATATAAATGAAGCATTGTCACTTGTGACCAGGTACTAAAGGTGGGTTTTAATGCCAGCTCTGGGAAACATTAGTTATACTGACGTCACATATGTAGGTGGGATGTGAGGAGGGGGGGGGGGGACTCTTACGTTCGTGCCACCAGCCTTTGCCAATACCCAAGTCTTCACCTTCTTCTGTCTTTGGCATTTCCGCCTCTGTATCTGACGCTTGTGGTATAGAGTACTCTGCATGTGCACCACAAGCTTTATAGAGCTCTTCTGTCGCTCCGTATGCGGTGTATGTTTCTGTCAAAGCCTTTCCTGAAATCTTCTTGAATTCTCTGGCAAGAGTTTGAGAGGTATGAGTGGTGTGGTTTGCCTTGTCTCCAGCAAGAGGAGGTGTAACAGGAGGGATTGATGTTCCATGATTCTGATTGACCTCTGGAAGGTATGCATATTTGTCGTTGGCCGTGGCGAAAGCTCGAGTGGTGAATTTCGGAATGCTGATCTGAAAAGGGTTAACATAGGATATTTCTACCTTTCATAGGAAACATTACTTTAACAGTACGTCCTGATTGAAATTTTAGAGCTCGCAGACACGAATTACAAGTTTTGGAGGCCATTTCGATGATTTAAGGGTTATTTAACGAAGGGAATTGAAGGGGATTGCAGTTGTGGTTGTCAAGTATCAATGATGTATTCAAAGGAATGGAAGAGCCATCATCGTTTGTTTTCTCCATTGGTGTATAACCTAACAGCCATAGTTAAATTAGCGCGATTGACTCTTTTGTACATCAATTCTCTATTTCAGTTGTATAAATTCACCAAACTTCCACTTCAAATCATTGTGGATTCCAATATTTGATAATTACTAGGTAAAGCACAAGCTTTCATTTGATACAAATATTGAGCTTCTCTAATCCGATTTTATGTTGATGCGAATTTGATTGAAGCTATTGAAGTTCAAAAGGGCTTGGACCATTTATCAGAACTAGCAGCCTGGGGTGTCAAATTGAAATGTTCTCGACGTCACTTGTTACAAGTTCCGTCATATGTGCCTGAGGCATCAGATCTGGCGATCCTGGCGAGTTCGCACCATATCCAGGATTAATATTTATCCGCGTCATACTCCACAAAAATGGCAACGACATTGCAGTCAATGTTAAAATATACCGACTGGTAATAGCAATTGAAATGACCACAATCTTGATGATGAATACCGATATCGTGACACACTCCGGCGAGGTTCATGCTGATGAGCGAAGATGGGGTGTTCCGGGCCAAGCACCTTCTGATATAGCTCTAAAGCCCGTCGATGCAGGGTACCAAGATAAAACTATCTCTTCAACGCATCTCGAATCTCTTACGCATAATCTTTATTATCGCACATCATTACGAATAAAGAGTGATGGTTTTTGTTATTTATGTCAGAGAGTCCAATTCGAATGAGTTAGAGTTGGAATTTATGTTCGAGCTACGAATCAACTCAAACTCGCAGCTCGGATAACACTACCTTCCCCTGCCCCTTCCTCTTCCCCTTCCGGCCCTTATTTTATCACTCCTCCTCCAAGATTCTTCCCTTTCTTCCCATTTTCGCCTCGTTTCCCTCAGTATCATTCGAGGTGTTTTACCAGCTACGTTACACTGGTGATCAAGATCACATCCAGCATCCAAAAAGACACCCATCACCTCGTCCTGCAATCTCATCAAATCAGCGTTTGTCCAACGCATATGCCCATCGCGATAGGATCCACTAGTCAAACGCCTTTTATCGTTCATATAATACCCGCCCGCTGCTTCATGTAGCGGCGTATTCCCTTTAGAATTTCTGGCATGGAGATCGGCGCCTCGGCTGATGAGAAATCGCACTGCCTCGATATAACGCAAATTACTCGCTGCAAAGTGAAGAGCGGTATTGCCATCTGCATCGGCGTCATTGAGAGCCGCACCATTCGTCAGAAGGAGTTCCATCAGTGCCGTATCCTTAGTTACTAAATATAGCGGCATTTGTCCTTTTTGATTTCGTAGACCCGCGTCTGCGCCGTGTTCGAGCAAGAGCTTCACAATAGCCCGAGCGACAAAGGAATGTTCGCTACCGCTTTGTGCTTCTCCAGATGATGCGAGATGCAATGCCGTGTTTCCTCGCTTATCTGGAATGTTGATAGAGCTTGGATTACTACCTTTCAAGAGTAAATTAATGGAGTCGGTAGCTTGGGCAACAACATCGTCTCTGGCCCAAACTTCGTTCTCAGGCTGATTGAAGCTCCCAGCGGCCCAATGAAGGGGAAGAGATTCGAAACTATCTCGGCATAATAACATATCTGAAATGTCGATGCCGCTGCCTCGACGGTCCAGCAGGATTTGGATGCCTTCGGAATTCAGATACAAGCTACCCACATGAAGAGGAGTGAAATCTTTGAGAAGCTCTTCATCGTATCCAGACCAAGACTCTAGCTCTCTTGTTGTCTTTGCATGCACGTCTGCGCCTTCATCGATGAGACGTTTCACCAATCCAGGACTCGCCCTAGAGATGGCTAGACTGAGAACCGTTTTATGAATGTTCGCGCGATTTGTGATATCGCGAGCGCAAGCACTTCGGTCAAGTAGAAGCTGCATTAGCTCTTCACTACGAGCCACGTGATGGCGTAGATTTCCTTCTGGTTCACTCGATGCTGGCACCGTGTCCGGAAGGTGCGAGGTAAACGAAGCAGCTGCACAGAGCAAGGCCGTCGTGTCCCATTTCCGGGCGTGAATATCAACATATTCAGGTTGACAATCCAACAGAAAACGTGCCATATCGAGATGAGCTCTGCTGCTGGCCACATTTAGTAGCAGATAGTCTGTCGAGTTGGGAGCCTCCAATTGAGCTAGAGTTCCATGGATAGCGTGATGCTCCAAAAGTATGCGAAGACAATCGGTAGATGCATAATAGGTCGCGGTGTAGAAAGGGTCCGTGTAAATGGCTAGATCTGCCGCCAGGCCGCGCATGGGTTCTCTGAGCAAGTATTGCTTTAAGCCAGACACGTCATTGAGCTGAATAATTCAACATATAAGGGCGTTTCCGTATTCACCCTTTTCGTAGAGGGCCGTGGTGCCGTCATGGTCAAACAGAGCGATGGATGTAATATTATCTGGCTGATGGAATTCGTGATAGGGCGATACTGGTAGGGGCTGTTGTGCAGCCATTTTGATTTTGTCAGAAACGAGGAGGTATATACATTAGATGTGGTGAGACTTGAAAGAAAGAGCGGAACAAGCAGCTGTTATATATTGTTATAAGCGAACATAGTGTTCACGTGACGAACAATCCACTCGCTAACACTTGCTAGTTTCAAGAATTAGTACCTAATTACAGATTTATTTTTGTTTATTTAAAAATTGTTTCAATCAGTCCATCCATTTATTTTTCTCATCATCCCGAGGTTCCTGTGGGTGCTGAGTTTATATCTGGTGCAGAACTCCCGTCCGGAAGCCAATTCTGCTGAAAACCACCAGGTACAGGATTGAGATTGGTATTTCCATTAAATCCACCTACAAGTTCGAAACCGCCTTGATCCTCTGGTAATGACGGCCATGTATATTGCAAATTAGTAAGACTCGTAATTCCTTGCTCATACATCCAAAGATTCTATTAGATTTTGTATTAGTTCATTATTATCAAAACCGGTTATGATTATCGAGACCGGTGATATTTGGACTGGTGGATATGCAATTGATAGTTTCACTTACAAATGTATTTAGAAGGGTAGCCTCCACAGAAACTCGAATCGATGCTTGAACAGCAGCGTTCAAGTCTAGACCTATATACATTCTGGTCTAGATACCATCACCTATAGGACAAGACAGAGCTTGGGTGAGTGCATTGTAATTAGCCCTATTGCCGGTATTTACGCCCCCTACATAATTGGAAGAATAGCGAAACTCCACTCGGGGCTCGAGTGTGCCGGAACCAGATCGAGGGGGACTTCTATTGACGGTTTGACCATGATATACAGTTATGGTGCCGACGCCCAGATGCCAAAACGTCACGTCATTCGTGATCTCTTGTCTAAATGTGTATCGATCCAGGGGGATATGTAAATGAAATACGACCCAGCGATCGGCTGCAACTGTATGTGTGATGTCGGCATAGGCGGCACGCTGAGCTGCCGTAGGAGCCACGCCTGCAGTAGGACCGATCCAAAAGGCCAGCTCTAACATAATTTGAGCACCTGTCGGATTGAACCAGCGAAGGTAATGCAGGGACAAATCACCTTGAAATATAGTCAGCAATTGAGATTTTCTTCGGGTTTCGCTAAAAGCGCCTCTGGTTTTAAATAGGCGACGCCTATTCTAATCATCAAGATCGGTTCTAATAATCTTAACCAGTTCTGATAATTCAAATCTTTCAAATGAACCAAATAACATACGTTCAATACACCTCTGATGGCTTGAGAAATAGACGGCTGGAGTCCATCAGGGGTACGGGCAGTTCAAGTTGAAACAATTTCATCGAGTCTTCGGGCCGAGATCTCTCGTTTGGTGGATACGATATCATCCCAAGAATCGGCATCATCATCAGGACTCAAGCACGAGATTAATGAATATGTCTGCAGGTTTTCGAGTCCGTTGGCTGCCTCAGCCATGTTACAAGGTATGTCAGTTAGCAAGCTATCGGTGGCATACTCAGGATCTCCCGTCCAAGCGCTCGGGTAGAGTATATCCCTAAGAATGGTGTAATTCATGCTACCGAATCCAGCTTCACTGGTATCGTCATTCCAGATCGCCGTCAAGTCAGTTCGGGGATATTGGGACGTAATTCACGACGAAAGAATGGGCATCAAAACTTCGAGAGTAATGCCTTGGTCAGTGGCTCGCTTCTCTAGCGATATGCTTCTCTTCCACCCCAAAGGATCGGAGGAGAAAGAGGCGCTGTACTCAGCTTCAAAACCGCCAGGGCATATAGGTGCCGCCAAGTATTTCTGGAGATAGGCATCGAACTCCTTTGCTGTGGTGTCCTGGTAGGTGGGTGCTCGCGGACTTGTGGTAGTTGTCGTTAAGGTCCCAGCACAACAATATGCCTCGTTACCCCAATTGCAGTTTGCAACGTTGGACGATTGTCCAAAATCAGACTGTTCGGCAATCCGGATCGTGCCTGAAGGGCAAGTGTTGCTACAGTATTTCTCATTCGGAAATGCCACTTCAAAACCAGCCCAAGCGCAGTTGGTGAAGGCATCCGGGACGGAGTCTGTGCAGCAGTAATTGTATTTCTTCTTTCCACTGCACGATGATTTTCGACCGCCCCAGCCCGCGCGGGACCCTACGACAAAATTCGAATAGCCTGATGGGCACGTGTCATCGCTTTCGCAGCCCGAAGTCCACGCGCACTCGGAATATGGCTTTGTCGAGGCTGTAGTGGTACAGCAAGCCGATTGATAGCCTGACTTTCATCCGGCGGAATTGGTTCCCACTTCAGTTTCGCCGCTGTTGCAGCCGCCCTTGCATTTACCATTGTTATGGAAGCCGCGCCATTGACAAGTCGGTACGTCGGTTGAAGTAGGACAGCACAAGGTCTGCGTAAGTCCAGAACCCAACACTCGGACCTATCGAGCATAAGTTGCGATTTCTTTTCGCCTCGAACAATAGTGGTGAAACCAGTAGGACACATTTCGCCACAATTAGTGAATGGGCAGTACGCGTCCCGTCCACCTTCACTGGTTGTTATCGTCGTCGATGTCTCACTTCTAGTAAGTGCTAGACCTGTGGACGTATCTGCGTTGATTTCATTGCCGAGCGCGGCTGCTAGCCCTCGCGAGAGTGTGTTATTGCTGTCATCATAATCGACAGACCAAACTAAAACGCCCCCAAGACATTGCGACTTCGCAAAATCCCCCTTGAGCTTGAAGGTGTCCTGATCGTCAAATGAAACCCATTGGTTATCATCCCACTGCGAGATCACTCCAATTAGCTTGCCTATTCTAGATATCTTTGGATGAATTGCTTTTGAAGTATGAGATTTGCACCTACAGTTATGGCTTTGACAGCGGCATCCTTGTATAAAACTGGGGTAAGATCTTCGTCACTCATGATCTGTTCGATCTCGCTACTGAGAAAGATACCAGCTGAAGCGCTGCAAACACCTTCGTCTCCGGCCGATGAATACGCGCAGCCGGGAGTATCGCAGTCGGAGCTAGCAATGGTGAAACTACGGCTGTAGAAGGCTAAACCCAATTTGACCTTAGACGAAGTAATATTGTTCCACTATAGCAAGTTCATTTGGGGTTTCTATTTCGGTCAGGTTTGTGTGTGCATCTAGAATAGAACTAGTCCACTCATTTCCAATGTCCCAGGTGCCATATAAATCGTAAGCCATGTAGTTGAACCAATCCACAGAGGGTTCAATGGAGACCAGATCCTGCGAGATTATGGGAGTTAGTTTGCCCTTTTTGGGTGTCTCGGGTAGGACTCTGCAATGAATAGAATGAATCATGATCTTATATTCATGATTCAATTTATGGAAGTGGACTTACAACATGCTGTAAATACCAGTAGCTGGTAGGCAGCGTAATGGAAAGACCATAGCTGTATCCGTCCAGTGCTGTTTTCAGGTTGGCCAGGAACGTCGGGTAATTGGCATAATCTTCAGTTCGGCCACTGCGATCGGAGGCCGCGGGATACTCCCAATCGATATCAACACCTGAAAATCCCCATGTCGCCATGAAAAGAGTCAATGACGAGAAAAACACATTCTGGTAGGTGATGTCGGCTGCGGCGAGATCCGAAAAGGTCGTTGCTGTGGCCTGGTCACTGTCCGTGAAAGTCTAGCCGCCGATGAATAACCAGAATTTCTGCGTTGCATCACGTGCTTGGAGCGCCGCAAGCTTTGTATAGAGCTTTTCGTCACCATCGGCCCCGGGGATTACTTCAAAGATATCTGGGTCGATACTGCCAAAGGCAAATTAGATGTGCGAATTGATTACCCAGGGAAAGGACTCGGGAAGCATGGCATCGCATGCGCGAGTAACACCACCTGAAGCATAGTAACCGCTGATCCCTCCCCCGTTTCATGCATCAAAATTTTCTAATTCTCTCTTGCAGACGTCGCAGCGGCCTTCTTCAATGTAATAGACTTGTCTGATATCTCAATATCAGACTTGTGTTCGTATTGCAACGTTCATATGCTGGAACTGATGCAGGCAGATGCCTACATAGATGTTTATGATGATAACTGGGTAACCACATATCAATATGTGGCTGATGCATGCAATCTGACCGTGGCCGACTTCAACGCCACAGCCAGCGCTTTAAATGTGACCGGAGTAATATCGACGTCAAACTGTGTGTCTGGGATCACTTACACAGCCGTGGAAGGTGATACTTGTGACTCGATCGCTCTGACCAAAGGTGTATCGGCGGCCACCATGTACTATATCAACTCTAATATTCACAATTGCTATTCTGTCAGGGTGGGAGCGACTCTCTGCCTACCTTTGACCTGCACTGATCTCTAGACGGTCCAAGAAAACGACACCTGCACCAGTATTGCCGTGAACGCCGGCCTTCTCACGGCAAAGGTAATCTCTTACAATTCGCATATCACCTGGAACTGCAGCAATTTGCACTCGACAGATCCCTATTGGGGCTCAACGCTCTGTGTGTCGACACCAGGGGGAACATATACGGGCCAAGCGTTGAACACCACAGCAACATCTGATGTGGCAGTTTCCGCGCCTGCGGGCTCAACCATGGCCTTGAAATCCACTACGGATTGCGGCGAGTGGTACGCCAACGATGGTAGCAGCAATCTCACGTGTGCCCAGATCTGCCTGTCACACGGGATTGCTATCAACCTGTTCACCGGTGCCAATCGGTCGCTGAATAAGACGACGTGTGATGATGACCTGGTGTTAGGAGATGTCTATTATGTTGATCTGTTAACAGGCTGGGATTGGACCGTGACTACTTCAAGTAGTAGCAATTCAACTACCAGTACAGCACCATCAACTGCATCGATTGTCACCGCTCCCGGACCAACACAAACTGGCATTACCAGCGCGTGTGCCGAATATTATGTCACTATCGACGGTAACTCAGACTTTGCAGATCCATCATTCGTTCGTTTGCTAATTCAGGAGAAAAACAGGCGATACATGCCCTTCTGTTGGAACATCATACGATATCACATCTGCTCAATTCTACGGTGTAGGTCGAAATCTCCCGGAGCGATATTTCCTATTTAGGTATTCATGAGTTGAGACATTGTTTCGGAGGGCCTACTTCCTCTGAAAATCAATTGCTCTAGAAACACTTCTCATTTCCTCCAAAACATTTAGAATAGGCAAGCTAACTCCGGTGGTCTCGTAGTGGAATCCGGCGATTGGAAGTGAATGCACAAACCTTTAGCTTGAGGAAGCATACTGTGTCGGAGTGTACTACATTACTGTCACAGGAAATTCAACACTCGAGTCTTCCGCAATCTGAATTCGCTTGCTAACCAGATAAAATGGGAATACAGATGATACTTGCGCTTCAATTGAATCAATATATGATATTACCTGGGCTGAATTTTATGCTTGGAATCCGGCGCTTGAGAGTGATTGCACAAATATTTGGTTTGAAGAAGCATACTGCGTTTTCATTTCTTGATCTTCCGCTATAGCACGCCGTTAAAAGGTTTTCTGGTATAACAACTGTAATTATCTATAAATGATTAGTACGGATTTATCTTCCTACACATCACGTGTAGACCCAAACCTCGTTTTATGAAGGGATTTGTATTGGGTAGGGTATAGAGGACTAGATATGTGGAAGGACTCAAGTCTTGGTTATGATGATTGCAGTTGGAAGGTTTGTCACTCTGCTTAAGAATGGTGCTGAAGCTGTGATTCCAAAACGCTTGTCTCGAGGAATCACAGATGGCATTCAAAGCATGTAAATTCACCGACTGTTCTCAGTTCCGAACCATCCAAATTGGACCTTGCATTGTAGAGCAAGACCAATTATAACAGTACACATGACATTTAAGTCATCATCTACATTCATCTTGCACTTTTCGAGCCTCTGAATCATCCGAAATGAACTCACATCGGAGAAGAACATGAACAAAAACAAGACCTGACAACCAGAAGTTCTCTGCACTACTTACGAAAAATATATAAGTACCGCTGGAAAGATAATACGAAATACCGCAAATATAACACGCGAGACTACTCGAGACGAGACCATGCACCCTTCCGATCCTATGGAAGCCGTCTATAACGTGAACTCTAACAGGTTCACATGCAAACCGCACTCGGAGCTTGTTGTAAATGGACGTCTTGGTATTCCTTCCTTGTATTTCTGGTCCGTGGATGTTAGGCTAATGTCGATTATAGTGGAAGACATAAAATGCATACCCATCCCGCGACTCTTAAGAAAAGTCGAGATTGCTGTGATGTGGGAACCGAATTCTAGGGTGGGACATACAGGCTCGCGTATAATCACCAGGGTCATGGAATTACCACTCGGAGTTTGGTACAGAAGGAATGTATGGGGTCTCCACAAACAGCTGTACATTTGTAGATAGTATATTTGGGGGTTAAGGGTTTGACTGCCTGATTTCAAACGAAGAACCTGGTTCCACGACTACTTGTATTATTCATCCAGTGATATCTTATACAAAATCAAGTTTCCATCTGTGGGCATGCCGGATATGCGCCCATAAATGTAGATGTGAAGCCCCACGACGGGCATATTTAACTGTTCCATGCTGAGTCGCTGACATCCTCAGTGCGGTCATCTTTTGTTTCGTCCCCAATCATACTCAATTATCTGCAAACACTACTGCCAACGGCCATTTCCCTTGATTGCGCTTCAATCAAATCTTATCCCGAGTTCGATTTACTCCAGAATTTTGTGATAGCAATCATCTTTGCTTTGCGACAACTTGATGTAACAATGGAGCCGTGACAATGTAGCGATGCGATGTTTGAGGACGATACTTTTAACTTCAAATATATTCTATGCCGCGAATGAAAGTTCCCTGGTCGGTGTCATCCTATGCCCTCGAGCGCCTCAGTTTGGTTATCTCTTCCGTAGTAATAAAAGTTGTAATGTTTCCTGCCACTTTATAATCACCAAAAAATACATGAGCCATTGTCTGCTCACCGTAGAGGCCCTGCATATTTCCCGGACACCATTCTCATATATATCGTTATCGTAGTTGTTCCCAGCTGCCATAAGTGCATCGTCTCACTTTAAGTTGAATTTTTGTCCAGCGATAACTGGAGCGGCGGACGACGTCTTCGCGTTCGACTTTCCACACATCGCGCAAGCTATTGCGTATTAGATTCTGCACATCATAAAGAGAGATAAATGCGTAGCCACATACCATTCGCTTTGTATGAACACTTCAGGCAGTATTTTCTACCCTGGTCAACCTTGGTGCTGCACTCCTTACCAGTGCAGGTTGTCGAGTATGTAGCGTAAGGATTCCTGGCAGATTTTGATAATAATTTACTCTGCCATCACAATATTAATAATTGTCGACTGGGCGTCACAAGATTGGGTCTTACCTTGCCTATGCCATTATTCCCCAACGTGGCGGAGGGCTTCGTGCCAGGCTTAGATGATGATCCAGCCGGCGAACCAAAATACATGTCATTCTTCTTCTTGACCTCTGGGGTCGCCAAAGAAGTAGTGCTCGTCGATTTCTTTTGACACTTGGCGCAAACCATTTCGAAGGAGTATAATATGAAGTCGGTGATATGATAATTTTTTATGTGTTGTGATGTCAAGATGCGGGAGGGCCAAGGTAAGAATGCGGGTGAAGGCGGGCCTTGCGTGGAAGGCTGAAGCGAAGCTTTCCCTGTAACTTATTACGGTATAACCACCTCTATTATTGTTGTGGATGTCAATCCCAATTTAGCAACCAAGACAAACTCTCCAAGACTCAATACGAATTTCATGAAACCCCCCGAATTGACCCTGAAATATATTTCGCATTTCACGAATACAAAAACCGCACAATAGATCGAAGTTCGCGATCCACGATCCGCGAAAGGAATTGGCTCCCGTTGAGAAAGTTGGGCGGCGGCACTTATATCACATTCGTTATCCCTAAATCTTACAAAGAGGCTATGCAACTCTGAGGCTTTTTTGTCAAACAATACCAAGAGAACAACGACAAGCCCGCGCAATATCACGATAATACAATCGGAAATCGCATGATTACAATTTGATCTCCGCCGTCTTAAGTGCGACGACCTTGAGCTGAATTCCAGCATGGCTGGACAGCCTTCAAATAATCGAGATGATTTACTTCTCGATTTACATGATGAACAGCCAATTTACCACACTGGGCAGCGCGCCCCTATGAATGACGATGACCTCTTGCGCGCCTACAACGCAGATCATGATGAGTCGAATTCTCGGCCTTCAATCTCTTACGACAACTTCGTTGGCGCCCCATCCCCCTCCACTCCTGCTTCTACGAGCCATCTTCCAGGAGGACCTGGCTATCCCCCAAATGGACCACAGCCACCATATATTCACGGCGCCTCAGCATCATACAGCCAGACTTCAGGTCTGAACAACTATCAACGATACGCGGATGATTTGGACGATTTCCCAGATGATGGGCATTCTTCAGAGTATTATCACCACGGCACAGCAGTTCCCGGTGACGGGGCGGAAATGAGGGCTCAAGGACGGAATCGCAACAGCATAATGAGTTTGGGGGGTGGTATTATGGGAAAGGCGAAGAGTATGTTTGGAATGGCTCCTGGATATTCAGAAATGGATCTACCCTTGACCGAAGCGGGGGTGAGGAATCGAGCAGATGATACCCATGAACCTGAAACACCTGTTAAATCGGGAAATAAGTTGGGAAACTTCAAATTTGGATTTGGTAGAGGAAAGCCGGATCCTTCAACTCTTGGTCCCAGAATTATACATCTCAACAACCCTCCTGCTAACAGCGCAAACAAATATGTGAATAATCACATTTCTACAGCAAAATACAATGTTGCCACCTTTCTACCGAAATTTTTGTACGAACAATTCTCTAAATTTGCCAATCTATTTTTCTTGTTTACTGCAGGATTGCAACAGATACCCGATATTTCACCAACGAATCAATACACCACAATTGGACCTTTAATCTTGGTCCTCTTAGTTTCTGCCGGTAAAGAATTGGTTGAGGACTACAGAAGAAAGACTTCAGATACTTCTTTGAACAACTCAAAGGCTCGTGTTTTACGTGGATCTTCATTCACGGATACTAAATGGATCAGCCTTGCTGTTGGCGACATCGTTCGAGTGGAATCTGAAGAGTCCTTCCCTGCAGATATAATTTTACTGGCTAGTTCAGAACCTGAGGGATTATGCTATATCGAGACTGCCAATCTAGACGGTGAGACTAATCTCAAAATCAAGCAGGCCATACCAGAAACATGTGTCATGGTCAGTTCTAGCGACTTAAGTAGATTGGGCGGAAAGTTACGATCAGAACAACCGAATAGCAGTTTATATACCTATGAAGGTACCCTTACCGTTGCGGCTGGTGGAGGAGAGAAAGAACTGTCTCTGCAACCAGATCAACTTCTGCTCAGAGGTGCGACACTTCGTAATACACCCTGGATACATGGAATTGTTGTGTTTACTGGACATGAAACCAAACTCATGCGGAATGGGACGGCAACGCCAATAAAGAGAACTGCTGTGGAGCGTCAACTTAATGTACTGGTTCTCATGCTTGTAGCTATTCTAATCGCTCTGAGTGTTATAAGTTCAATGGGAGATGTCGTAGTCAGATCACTCAAGGGAGCTGAGTTGAGCTACCTTGGTTATTCTGCTTCGATCACTACGATGGAAAAGGTTTCACAATTCTTTTCTGACATAGCCACATATTGGGTTCTCTATTCTGCCTTGGTTCCAATTTCTCTTTTCGTCACTGTCGAAATGGTCAAGTACTGGCATGCGATTCTCATTAATGATGATCTCGACATGTACTATGATAAGACGGATACTCCGGCTGTCTGTCGTACCTCAAGTTTAGTTGAAGAGCTTGGTATGGTGGAATACATTTTCTCCGACAAGACTGGAACACTAACATGTAACCAAATGGAGTTCAAGCAGTGCTCCATTGGTGGAATCCAATACGCAGATGATGTACCAGAAGATCGCCGAGCTACCAATATCGACGGTCAAGAGGTTGGAGTTCATGATTTTAACCGATTAAAAGAAAATCTCAAAACTCATGAGAGTGCTTTGGCCATTCATCACTTTCTCGCCCTCTTAGCTACTTGCCATACAGTGATTCCAGAACGAGCTGACGAGAAAGGTGGGCCTATCAAATATCAAGCAGCCTCTCCTGACGAAGGTGCTTTGGTCGAAGGCGCCGTTTTGATGGGCTATCAATTCAGTGCACGCAAGCCAAGGTCTGTGCAGATAACTGTACGTGGGGAGGTTTACGAATATGAACTTCTTGCGGTTTGCGAATTCAACTCGACAAGAAAGCGAATGTCAGCAATTTTCCGATGCCCAGATGGACAGATCAGATGCTATTGTAAAGGAGCAGACACTGTCATCTTGGAAAGACTCGGTCCAGACAATCCACATGTAGAAATCACGCTTCAACATTTGGAAGAATATGCATCGGAGGGTCTAAGAACACTTTGCCTGGCCATGCGAGAAATTCCAGAACATGAGTTTCAAGAATGGTGGAAAGTTTTTGATAAAGCAATGACGACCGTCAGTGGTAATCGTGCCGATGAATTGGACAAAGCTGCTGAACTCCTTGAGCATGATCTTACTCTACTTGGAGCCACAGCGATTGAAGATCGACTGCAAGATGGTGTCCCTGAAACAATCCACACCCTCCAAGAAGCGGGTATCAAGGTCTGGGTATTAACTGGAGATCGTCAAGAAACTGCTATCAATATTGGGATGAGTTGTAAATTGATCAGTGAGGATATGACACTTCTCATCGTCAATGAAGAAACTGCCATGGATACTAGAAACAACATACAAAAGAAGCTAGACGCCATACGAACACAAGGCGATGGCACTATTGCCATGGAGACTCTTGCTTTGGTCATTGATGGGAAGTCTTTAACTTATGCTCTCGAAAAAGACCTGGAGAAGGATTTTCTCGACCTCGCTGTCATGTGTAAAGCTGTTATATGCTGTCGTGTGTCTCCACTTCAAAAGGCTTTGGTCGTCAAGCTTGTCAAACGCAATAAAAAGGCCATCCTCTTGGCTATTGGTGATGGAGCTAATGATGTCTCGATGATTCAAGCAGCCCATATTGGTGTTGGTATCAGTGGTATGGAAGGTTTACAAGCCGCTAGAAGTGCTGATGTTGCAATCGGACAGTTCAAATACCTACGCAAACTTCTTTTGGTTCACGGCGCATGGAGTTATCAACGAATCAGCAAAGTTATTCTCTACTCTTTCTACAAAAATATTACACTTTACATGACGCAATTTTGGGTATGTGTTCCAGTTTATGGCTTGATCTATCACTAAAAACCTCTAGTATTCGTTCCAAAATGTATTCTCTGGAGAAGTCATCTACGAATCGTGGACGCTATCTTTTTACAATGTCTTCTTTACGGTGCTTCCTCCACTTGCAATGGGTATTTTTGATCAGTTCATATCTGCTCGACTTCTAGATAGATATCCGCAACTTTACCAACTAGGCCAAAAAAACACATTCTTCAGGCAACATTCGTTCTGGGCTTGGATTGGTAACGGTTTCTACCATTCTTTGATTCTATACATCGCATCGGAACTTATTTGGTGGCGTGATCTACCACAGGGCGATGGCAAGACAGCAGGTCATTGGGTATGGGGTACAGCACTATACACCGCTGTCTTGGCAACCGTCCTCGGAAAAGCAGCTCTAGTGGTAAATGTCTGGACAAAATATCACGTCATAGCCATACCTGGTAGCATGGTTATCTGGATTGTTTTCATCGCTGTGTATGCTACTGTGGCACCTAAGCTCGGCTTCTCTGAGGAATACGAAGGTGTGGTTCCTCGATTATTTACAAGTCCGGTCTTTTGGATCCAGGGTTTGGCATTGCCTATATTGTGCTTATTGAGAGATTTTTCATGGAAATAGTAAGTTCATCTGAATTGTTATATTTTTATTGAGCAATACTAATCCACACTCCTAGCGCTAAACGCATGTATTATCCACAATCCTACCACCACATCCAAGAGATTCAGAAATACAACATTCAAGATTATAGACCAAGGTATTTTTCCATTTATTTTCTCCATATCTCTTCCTAGGCGATTTCTAATCACTCCTATCATAGAATGGAGCAGTTCCAAAAAGCCATCCGTAAGGTTCGCCAAGTCCAACGTATGCGCAAACAGCGTGGTTATGCCTTCTCTCAAGCAGACGAGTCGCAAACCAGAGTACTGCAAGCATATGATACCACGAAGGAGAGAGGAAGATACGGAGAGATGGCAAGTTCAAAAAGGAATCGTTGATGAACTTTTACTCGGGTTTCGACGATTAGAGTTGGAATGAGTATAAAAGGATATACCTGGTCTGGTCTGGCGAGCATGATAGGTATTCAGGCTGAAAATGGGCTGGAATGGAATGAATCGGAAAACTATGTTCTATGTATGATGATAACTGGAAGCAAAATCTTTCTTGGGCTAGGGCCGGCGGGCTATTTTTTATAAAATGAAATGCGATTGCGACTTTTTTCCTTTTTTTTCTGCCTTTACTTGACTCATATAAGGAGTATATACTATTATTTTTCTCGATTTCTCTGATGCGTTTTTATGTACATCGTTTGTTCTTAATCTGTACAGCAGCATGTGAGGAGTGAGGAATGAAGATGGAGTATGGTATCTTCAATATTTGTTCTCGAAATAGGTCTAATGATGTCGCTGCACTAACATATATATGATCGGCTGAGATTATGGGAAGGGAGTGAACTATAAGGAAGGGCATCTGTGATCATGAGCAAGGTTTCCTTGTCGGATCGGTCCCCCCTACTTCTACTTCTGTGTACCGACGAGCCTAACCACAGTTGAGCTACAGATCATGAGGTTTTGAGGCTTTACAAAGAGTGTGGGATGGTTGACTTGGTGATGATATTGGCTTTCACGTTGACGTTTATTTCATGTCCCTCGCAAGAAAGAAAGAAGGAAAGTATCTCTCTCGGAGTGGAAAAGATATTACTCTTACATTATCATAATGGAATGCTATTGGCTACTTTACAGTTTTACAAAAAGATCGATGCTTCTAAGTAGGAGTCTGAGGATGAGACAAATGTTTCCCTTTCTTACGCATCACAACCTTGGAAAGGTAACCAGTCGCATTCAACCTTTCATTTATCAATATTATCAAGCGTCTCTCGTTTTATTCTGTATTCTCACAAGAACGATTCCGCAGTCATGGCGCTTGCTAAAATGAGTGAACAACATCGTGGTTTCCTGAAGCAGGAAATTACTGAGGTTTCAATTCAAGGGTAGACCTGCTCCCCTCCCAAGTCACAAATGGTTCCGGAAAAGCATACCCATTAGGGTCAGCTACCTCACCAATGATCCCGTCCATTGTGTCGTGCTTGTAAGTTGCAATGTCGTATCTAAGATTCACAACTCTTTATATCCATGATTTCAAAAATTTTATCTTAATAACATAGAAGACAATATTAATACTATAATAAATTAACTTTGTACAAAATTATTTCAACATTGGATATTCTGAATTTATTTGAATCAAATGTTGAAATAATTATCCTAGAATTATTTCATGATATCTGAGAGTCAGTTCCCTCATCAAATATAGTTGCCTTCTTCCCCATAATAGTACTCGAGTCTAGAGTAAGTCAACTACCCTACTTTCGGGCCACCCCCCCTTTCGGGCCACCCTTTCACACCAAAAACAGTGATTTCTGATTTTTATAACTTTTTATTCATTCGATATAATTGAATGAAATTTTGAACATAGATTCTTTATATAGTTATTAGCTCAGTTATAGTTTTTTAGATTTTTCGTAATTTTATATAAAAAGTTATTAAAGTTTAAAAATCAAGGTTTTCATTTTGTATACGATTTACATACAAATTTCAAAATATTCTAAAAATCTTAATAACTGTTTAACAAAAATAAATAAAAATAAATTTATAATTTTTATATAATATCTGAACATATATTA